CCATGGCAGCAGCAAACCTAGAATAAGAAAGACAAGAAATTATATAATTTCCCAAGGGAATTTGGGGAAGCTTATTAGTTTTTTTTCTCAAAACACTAGTTTTGAGAAAAATAAGGCAAACAAATAAAATGAAACAGATGAGCAGAGTAATGGGTTTTGAACCTGGCGCCGTTCTCAGTGTTGTGCAATGGTAAACTGAAATTGTTCCAATTTGTGTTTTATAACAGAAGAGCAGTTAGAAAAACAAACAAATATAGTGTAAGATTAATATTGTAAAAGTAGTTGTAAAACCATCATTTGGTATCGCAAGGTGTATTCGTTTCCTAGGGCCTGTGTAACAAATGACTACAAACTTGGTGATAGAAAATAAGAAATGTATTCTCTCACACTTCTGGAGGCTGAAGCCTGAATCAGGTGTTGGCAGGGCCATGCTCCCTCTTCAGGCTCTTGGGAAGAACCCTTCCCTGCTGGCCTCCAGCAATCCTTAGCATTCCTTGTACGAGCACCATTCCGATCTCCTCCCCTATCGAGATATGGCCTCTTCCCTGTATCTATATCCTCTCTTTTTCTTATAAGGACATGAATCATTGAACCTAGTGCACATCTTAATTCAGTATAGCCTCATTTTTAGCTAATTATATCTGCAAACGTCTTCTTTCTGAAAGAGTTTGTGTATATTGGTATTATGTTTTCCTCGAATCTCTGCAAAAATTCTCCAGTGAAGCCATCTAGACTTGGAGTTGTCTTTGTGCGAAAGCATTTTAGTTATCAGTTCAATTTCTTTATTAGACATAGGATTATTCAGGTTATCCGTTATGTTTTAAGTTTATGTCTGGTAGATATTGCCTTCCAAGAAATGTGTTAATTTTATCCATGTGGTTGAATTTATTGGTCTGAAAGGTCTTTATTTTATCTTCATTTTAGAGAGAGATTTTCACTGGGTATAAAATTCTAGGTTAACAATTTCTTTCTTTCAAGCTCTTTAAAATTGTCATCCATTATCTTTTGGCTTGCAAGTTTTCTGACACAAAGTTATTGGTTGCTTTTATCTTTGTCTTATTATATACAGTGTGTATCTTTTTATCCTTTGCTGACTTGAAGGTTTTTCACTTGACCTCTGAGTTTCAGTGATTTTTATTCTGATACATTATAATGTGCGTTGGTATGGTTTCTTTACATTTCTGTTTCTTGGGATTCATTGAACTTGGTCGCTGAGTTTATAGCTTTTATCAAATTTGGAAAATATTCAACCATAATTATTTCTTTATATATATTTTTTTCTATAACTTCTTTTCTGAGATACCAATTACATATAACTTACACCACTTGATACGTCACACAGCTCACTGAGGTTCCCCGCTTATTTTTTTATTTTCTCTCTCTGCTTATTTTTAAGAGTTTATATTGTTACCCTTTCAAGTTTATGGGTCATTTCTTCTATGGTGACTAATTTGCTGTTCGTTCTATACAGTGCATATTTAAAACAATTTTTATTTATTCTGTCTCTAGATGGACTTTTGTATATCTTCCATTTCTCTTCATCATATTTATGATTTCTTTACATCCTTGAATATATATTATAAGATGTATAATAGCTGCTTTAAGGTCCATATCTACTAATTCTATCATCTCTATCATTTATGGATGTATTTACATGATAGAGTTTTCTTTTGGTTGTGGGTTATACTTTCCTGCTTATTTACATGACTGTCATATTTTGAATAGAATGAAAGATACTGTAAAAATTTTGAGGGGGTGCTGAATTTTGTGATATTCCTATCAATATGGTTGTCCATTGTTCCAGTCTTTGTTCTACCGAACAAGATGTAGCTAATATTTTGCAAATCTGTTTGGTATCTTCAAGGTTTTTGTTTGAGCTTTCTTATAGATCAAGAACAGCTTTCTTTGGGGAATAACATAGCCCACTACTGAGACATGACCCTTCTGAAATCTCTATTCAATATCCCTTGAATTAGGAGGTCTTGCCACTCTACCTAGCAGGAAAACTATTTCTAGACCTCTGTACAGAGCCTTGTGTGTATACAGAAAATAATAATAATAAAAAATAAAAATCATTACAATCTTATTTTCCTCAGGACAAACATGACTTTAGAAAATAACAAAACTTGACTTACATCTTTTCTCGCCCACTGATAAATCTTTATTTTCAAAAAACTATAAAACTACCATTTCCTTCTTCACTCAAACATTTGCCTTTATTACTAAAAACAAAAGTGTTTAGTATAACTAAAGAAATGCAAATTAAATGCCCATAAAGACAAGTGCCATAATTACTAAGTGTAAAAGTAAAACAAAAAACCCTAAAGCATATTCATTTTAAATTCTCATTAACTTTGATAGCAATGTAAATCGCCACGTCTTGAAAATACAGCTTTACGTCCAGTACAAGAGTCATACAGCGTATCGCACTCTTATACCTAGTGATCTGACTTTTTGTAACTCATTCTAAGGGAGCCTCTTGACTTCTCCGGGGTCCTCCTTTTGGTAGAACAGGACCCAGTGCCTCTGGGGACCAGAGCCCTCCTCCGCGTCCTGCTCAGGTCCACGCGGAGCCCATCCATCGGCCACGCGGGGACGGGGCGCTGGGGTGGGCTGTTGAGATTGAAGGCATGGGGCACAGGGAGAGACAGAGGAACCCCTTCAAAGAGCGTTCTACATGATAGCAGTATCAAAGGAGCAATTTTCTTAATTAAAAAACAAAAAGCCCAATTTGTGTTTTTGACTGGGTTTCAAAAGGCCTCTTTCTGAGGAGAGAGGAGGACAAAGCAGCCGTCAGCCACGTTGTGTACAGTCCGGGGGGCTCCACCAGATTCCGGTACAACCAGGCCTCTCTGCTAACGTCTTGCGGTACATTCTGAGAGGAAAAGTGATGAAAAGAATTATATCCACAGAGGGGAATAAAGAATATGGAATTCATTTTAAAAAGCAGTGGAAAGAACTGGGTGTGTGTGATACTGTGATATTTGGTCTCTGTCCCCTTCCCACTCCCTTGGAATTACTCGAGCGATGACAGCAACAACGGTGTCCCTTGTTATGAGGCTAATGAGGTGGCTTTTGGACCCCACCCCAGGGTGGGGGCTGGTTACCGGTAGGAGCCAACCATGTGGTTTTTGGATTGGAACTTCCAGCCTCACCCCGGATTGCTGAGGAGGAGAGGAGGGCCGGAGGTCACAGCAGTCTCTAGTGGCCAGTGACTTAGTCAGCCAGGACTACATAATGAAACCTCATAAAAATCCACCTAAGTTCAGCCACAGGTTCTTTGTTTCCAGAGAGCTTCCACGTCAGGCAACTGTGATGCTTCCACGGGCCGCCGGGCCCCAGGCCCCACGAGGACAGAGGCTCCTTCCCTTGGGACCTCACCTCTGTATCTCTTCGTTTGGCTATTGATTCACATCCTTTATTATCCTTTGGAATAAATCTGCAATGTGGTGAGGAAAGAGGTTTCCTTGAGTTTCGTGGGCTGTTCTAGCCAACTTCTAAGTTAGAGCGAGTCCGTAGGTGCAGGGATCAGCTGCAGTCACCCCCTGGGCTTTCTGTCACCCCCTGGGCTTGCAGTCACCCCCTGGGCTTTCTGTCACCCCCTGGGCGGAGGGCAGTGCGGTGGGACCCAGCCCTGTGCCTGGACCACCCGATGCTATGTCCGGGGGATGGTGCCAGGGCTGAGCTGAGTTCTCCGACACTGAGCTGGCTGGCGTCGGAGAATTGCTTGTTGGTGCAGGGAAGCCTCCACACACCTGTTGGAATCGGGTCCGAGAACCCCTTTTTAAGTGTGTTTACTCAGGAAAAGAGAAAGCGTGAGGGGAATGGGAGAAAGACATGGCAGCGATCTCCTGAGACTTAGACAGCAATTCCTCACAGCAGGAGAGCTCCTTCGCGTTGCTCCCAAAGACAAGTGGGGATACTTTCTTTTGCCATAACAGTGTCCCTGGAATCACGACTCTGCCCGTATCCAAAACCATCCCGGGTTTGCAGTGTCTCAGCTGGTGCTCGATGGAAGAGGAAAACGCATGGGTTATAGCTCCTGGCAGCCTGGATTTTAAACTCAGCTCTGTCACTGACAGACAAACTTTTCTCTCCTCTTTCTTTACAAAATGGAGATAGTTGCTTATTTTCTGGATGTTTTTGTAGACAGATGTAAAAGTACATAGTGGGTGTTCAGTAAAAGTCTGTTACATCTAGGAAAGAAATCTGGATGATTGAATATCATAAGGTGTTTTATATTCAAGCTAAAAATTCGGAAGATTTGAGCTATTTGAAAGCTTCTTGAAGTACTGAACTCCTTTTCTCTAAAAACATCCAAGCAGAGGCTAAGCAGTTGCTTGGAAGAAATAATTTTTAAAAGATATTTTTTTTTCTTTTGTCTATATTTTTTCCATGTCTGTTTTCAAAGGATCATTTCCAAATCTCATTCTAATGCCAATTCTCTTTGTAACCACAAGATGGCACTCAAGGTTTGGAGAATAAAAAAGCTAGCACGCCTCCTTAAAAACGCATTAGTTAATTACATAAACCTATAAAACAATGTTTAACTTCAATAACTCTGAAAGAATAGCACCAACATACATTAAATTAATGTGCTCAGCATAAATGTTTTTTTCCTATATAATTGGAGAAAAGAGAATCAAACAGTTACACTAAAGGAAGATCACATTTTTGTGAGTTAAAACACATACAGAATCAGATAAGGCAGGAACTCTGAAATAATATATATTAAATCCTTAATTAAAAAAAATAGTCAAACTAAGTCCAGAGTATATTTTAAAAATAGAAGAAAGCTTTATACTGGTATTTGTTATAGCACATGTTAATTTTTTATATATAGAAGAAAGGCAGTAACTTTTAATAACAGAAGTTGAGATTGACCAAAAACAAAACAAGAAAACCTACAAAACTTTTTCATGGAAAGTAGACTCAATTTGTGTTTGTAATTGGGTAGGCAATATTTTTATACTTACCTGAAAAAAAAAAAATGTTTTTAACAGGGGAGAGCTTGAACGCAGTCCCCCACTACCACAAATTGTGCAGTCAAGTTTCCCACATTTGGGGACATTGCAGGGGTCAGCACGTCCAGAGGGCAATGGATAAGCCGCGCCGTGGGAAAAGCATCTTCATGATCATAGTATCTTCCTCTGCCATTACTTCAAATTTTTAAGCTTTTATTTAATCTATTTATTTACTTACTTATTTACTTAGTTTTGTTACTCTTCACTCAAGGATACTTTTCCATTGATGTTTTAAAGATAGAGTGGAAGGGAGGGTGGGAGGGAGAGAGAGAAACATGGATGTGGACTGGCTGCTTCCGAAGGATCCTGACCAGGGTCGGAGACCAAACCTGCAACCCAGGTATGTGCCCTTGATCAGGAATCGAACCCTCAACCCTTCTTCAGACTGTGGGCCAATGCTCTAACCCATGAGCCAAACCGGCCAGGGCAATTTTTAAGCTCATAAATAAGCACATGTTAATAGGCAGATAGGAAATAATTCCATTTTCGTTTTCAGATACAATATGTGCTCATCAATATCTTCAGGCAAGCTGGTTCATCTCTTTGTGCCTCATGTTTCCCTCACTAGTAAACTGTACAGAATGGCTGCCTCTGCTCTTCCAGAAGTTCCACAGAGAAAACGGAGGGGCAACACTTGAAAAGGGAGGCTCAGACCTTGTCTTGAAGCTGGACTGTGTAACAAGGAAAGTGCTCTGACTTGGAGTGTGGGTTGACTTCTGGCTTTGAGGAGGGCTGATGGATATGACTGGGATTTACACTCAGAGGTGTGCGCGCTCGCTTCGAGGTGCACCTGTCCCCCCCGGCATGGCCAGGACCACATTAGGAAACGGAGCGTGCCCAGCACACGGCAGGCGCTTTGCCGTCTTAGTTCCTGACCCCTCTGCACCTCCTGTGGATAGACAAGAGCAACGGTATTTTCTAATGCTGCATAGAATGTAAAACTTCTCCAGAATTGGTAGCTTTTCTTTAGATAACTCTCTGGCTGACAAAGCTTAGACTACTGGTATAGCTCTTTCCATTGCCACATAGCAATCGTTAGCTACAGAGCATGACATAAAAGTAGTTTATATGTGCATAAGTGACAACGTTCAAAAACGGGGCAGGCACTGCGTTCTGGGTTCGCATCTTTCACTATTTCCCCGGGGAAAATAAATGCAAACTACTGATTAGACTGGAGATTCCTATTCTTCCCGTGTCTCGGTTGGAATAAAGCATTTGCACGAATACCAAAAGGACAGGCAAGGCAATAGGAAAGGGGAAAAAAAAAAAAAAGCCTTAGAAATGAACACCAAACCAAATGATCAACAATGAATATTTATGAGCTGCTTCTAATGACAATGGGTTCCTATTAATACTAACTAAAAACATGTGCGGAACTTAGGAATTTGCATAAAACATTCATGACAGTCATTTATGTTTCCAGTCTTCAATCACTGTTCTATGACTACATCGTTGGAATTCCTTAAATAGAACCATAATCTCCACGTTAGAATGGCCCTGAACAGAAGTCAACACCTACATTTTCTTTCTTTGAAAATGAACTGTCCTCACGTTTAATCTCAGTAAGTGGGAAAACAAGGTACACGTTAAGTGTGCATCGTTCTGTAAACACTAACCGGGTGCCTGCTGGTTGGCCAGGTACTGTGCTAGGCTCGGAGAAGACTAGACTGGCCCTGCCCTGGTCATGCTTGGTGCAGAGATGAAGTCCCACAGCACAGGGGCTGGGAGAGCTGGGGACAGAGCGCTGTGGAAGGACAGGGTGTCAGGGAGCCTCTCACAGAGATGATGGAGCTGGATCCTCACACTGTTCTTGCGACACACTCTGCCAGGAAGAAGAGATGGAGAGCAGAAGTGAAGTGGGAAGGGGCTGGGGCTGGGGGGAGGGGGGACACTGTGCATATAATGGGACTAAAATGAATGTGGTCATGATGGGTATTTTTTCCCAACTTGAGAAAATTTTACAGTTTTTACAAGTTTCTGACAGACTATTTTTATTTGAAAAGTTGGCAGGCAGGGGCTTTTATCTCCGCCCCTACCCCCACCCCCGGAACTAATATTTATTGAATGTTCATATTTCAACACTATATCGTTTTGTATATACGATCTCATTCCAGAGATCAAATGCAAGACAACGCTGCAAGGTGGGTAATGTTGTCTGTATCTGACAGATAAGGAGACAAGCTCGCTGCGCACGAGCGTTTCTGCAAGGTCGGTCTGACTCCGAGCCACGCTCCTCCCCTTGCTGCCTCCAGAGAGAGACTGCAGCTCGAACTGGAGCCGCGGGAGGAAGAGCATAATAACAGGGAAACTTATGAGTACTTACCGTGTTCCAGATATAACTTGAAGCATTTTACTAATCCTCACTGTCTCTTTGGGAGGTAGGCACAGCAATTACTGCCATTTAACAGAGAAGGAAACTGAGGCACAAAGAATTCCGATTAGTTGCCCCAGGTCACAGAGTGGGTAGCGAGGGGTCTGGCTCCAGCGCCCCGCACTGAAGCACCCGCATTCCGACCAAATCCTAACTCTAGGCCACCAGCCAGGACCCTCCTGGGCAAGACAGCCCAGAGGCGGAAGGCACAACGTGGCGAAAAGATCCTACATCCCCCAATAATAGAAGAGAGAATTTAGTGTGGTTTAAGAATTTGGTCTTGATTGACGACGGGGTGGAGGACAGTAGGTGGACGGATATGAAGCAAGAAAAGTTGGTCTCTTTTTTTCTTTAAGGCATTTTCTGTTTTTCAATTTGCATTTTCTGTTTTGTTCATAACAGGAAATTTCAGTGTAAGAAGGGCATTTTCAAACATAAAAACAGAAAGATGCATATGGCATGACATTGCATGAACATATAGACCAATTACTCACTTGCATAGATCCCCAAATATTTTATACTTAAGTCTCTGTGAAGTGACCACTTGATGGCACCTCATGTGTTTTGATGAATATGAGACTTTTGATAATTTCTGAAAAGAAGTTGATTCCACCATACTTGAGATTTTTGCATACTCAAATATTTATGCCACAAAAATTATACAGATATATGTAATATCTTTCAAAACTTTATTTAGTGTTTTCTTACTAATCAACTCCAAAATTTAAAAGTAAATATTATCGTATCTAAATATATTTTCATCAACCACCAGATGGCATAAGGTGTGAGAGTTTTATTCTGACAGGGTCACCACACTCCTGATAATTTGACCTGTAACTTCAAAATAATGTATTTGGGAAAATGTTCTAGCACTCAAATAGCTCACAATTATTTCAGCCATATGTAGAAGTGGATGGATAAGTTGAAAATGACATGGCCCTACTTTTTCTAAATTTGGGGGTTCTGTGGGATGCTGGCATTACATAATGAATAAATGATCAAACAAATAAAACAAAGCAGTTCTCTTCAAGGAAATCAGAAAGGAGGTCATGTCAAAGCAAAGTTAACCGTATGTTCTACGTAAGTTTCTTTAACTCTGAAACTTAAAACGTGCCGTCAAGAAAAAAAATGCGTGTATTTCAAATTCTGCTTAATAAAAACTTTCTACAGCCTATAATTTATTCTGAAAGCAGAAAAGTATCTAATGCAAAAGCTTTTCTCCACTTTGGCTTACAGGAGGGTTGTTGCAGTTGTCAACTGGAGAAAGCATATTCTGCTGAAAAACCCGATCTCGGCTCTGATGTTAAAGGGGAGGAAAGTATATTTTAAGAACCTTGATTCCTACACAGTTTCGAAATACAGCACATCATGTTTACTAATCCTGTATTTCCATCTAGAAACAAGGTCGCGTTGCTAACAAGCCAGAGAGCAAAAAAAAAAAAAAAAAAAAAAAAAAAAATGAGGTAAATGGGATCAATGTAAAATAATTTTAAAAATGGGATCTTTGCCCTGGCCGGTTTGGCTCAGGGTTAGAGCATCGGCCTGCGGTCTGGAGAGACCCAGGTTCGGTTCCCACTAAGGGCATGTAACTTGGTTGCAGTCTGCCCCAGCCCTGGTTGGGTCGTGTGGGTGGCAGCCACTCGATGTGTCCTTTTCACATCGATAAATGGAAAAAATGTCCTCGTGTGAGAATTAAAAAAAAGGGGTCTTTAACTCCCCTAGCTTTGTGGTAGCACGCTCAGTACTTTGAAATAAGCCCACCAGCACGAATGACTACCACAACCTCGCCAACACCACAGAGTGGAGAGAAAAACCTTTGCTCTAGCATCACGAGGCAGAAAAACTGCCGTTAGAAGTCAAGAGCCGGAGATCCCTTCCTTAATGTGATCTAAGAGTCGGTGGTTTCTGAAGATACTACCACAATTTATTTTTGTGTTTCACTACATACGTCCTCATTGGATGTAATATATTTGGTGCCTGAGTGAGAAATCTGTGGAAGAAGAAAAGTATTTGGCACTATGAGAAGGATGAAAAGTTATATGATGATATATAAACGGGTTTTGTTTTGTTTTGCTTTTTGTTTTTGTTTTCCCTATTTCTAAATCATGTTGGTAAGGAGAACGGAAATGGGAATGAGCATTAGCAGGGAAGGCACTGAGACTCCTGCACCCGGTCTCATCTCCTGCGCCCACTTTTGGCAGCCAATGGGTAGCAAAGATGTTTCCAAATCGTAGATATTCCGAGTCAATAGGACAATATATTCCAGACACTTAAACTTACTTACTTTAAATCCCATTCTTCATTATGTTTTAGCTGCATTCTCTTCCATTGATTATACTGTCTAATGAAACTTGGATCTTCAAGCACTGAAATTAGAGTATAAAAAGGATCTATGCATGTATTCCTTAATAATAGTTCAAAGTTTAAAATAATCCACTACTCATTGAGTTGATGTGTGACGATGCACACCCTATGCTCCAAGTCACGTGATAACGCTCCCTTCCCACATTTCTTTCTTTTATTTGAACACGGTAATATTGGCTATTGTTTGAAATAAGTAGATTGTGACTTCAAAACTTTTCATGATAATGACATTTGTTTATGTATCATTCACAGTAATAAAGAAGGTGTTAAGATAACTCCTAGAGAAACTACAGCTACCTTAGTTTAACCAAATTCTAACCTAGCACTTCAAGTAGCAAAGTAAAATCTTGGCGTGTTCCGAGTGACATTACCGATTTCTATCTTTCCCAAAGGATCTGCCACAGAGGATCATCCAGCCTGCCGATGAATCCTCTGCTAACAACAAAACACTCTCCTTTTTGTTGTTGGGGGACTGCCTGTTCCATGGCCAGACGCTGAGTTTCCACTGGTCCTAGTTCTGACCTCTGGAGCAGGGCTGCGGACGCTCATTCCTCCCTCCTGCGAGAGCCCTGCTGATACATGGAGACAGCTCTCGGGCAGCCTAGCTGCTACAACCGTTTCTTAAGACATGGCTTTCTAGAGATCAACCGTCCTCACCATCCCGGCAATGAAATGTGTTGCTGTTAGTGCCTATTAAAGTTTGCAATCCAGAACCGGCTCAGGGTCTTGATTTCATCTGAATGGCAAAGGCGCAAGTGAGTTACTACCTCCCACAATCTGCAGGCTACACTTCTGCTAATTGAGCTTGGATCTGCGTTAGTATTTTCTAGAACTCACTTATACCACTGGCTTATAGGTTTGTGGTTAATTATAAAACTTACCCCCTTCAAATTCACATAAAATGTATTGACATCTATGATGCTTAGGGCACGGGGAGTTTTTACACGAAATATGATTAAGCCAGATCAAATACACATATATACCTTGTCTATCTCGCTGTTTCTCTTAATTGTCCTAGGTTTAGTTTTGAACTATTTAACCAACTAGATGTCTGCACCAGTCTTGCCAGTATCTAGAACTTCCTTCTTGACAATGATTAATTCACCCCTTCTTGCCGGATGAAATTTGTCATTGATTGAAAAAAAAGCAACATTTGAACTAACGTTTTCTTTTATTAATATTACATGATTTTCACTAGCAATGTTCTTATCTATTTTTAGCTTCTTTTCTTGCCTCAAACATGCAAAAGCACATATACATATTCTTTGGGTTTTATGAATACTGTTTATTTTTGGTATTTGGATACATACTCTCTTCCATTAAAGAAGGAAAGCGGAGCTTCCAAGAGTTCTTAGTGAGTCTCATTATTTCCTTCAGATGATTATAATAATTAATATCAATAGAGTTCTTACTAAATACTGGGCACTTGTAAAGTACAAATGCAGTAGTTACATTATAACTTTACAGATGAACAAACAAAAGTTGAATAATGTCTCCTCACTGTTGACTACGTTTTATTACATGGACAAAATTTTAAATGTGAGATTTTCTAATCAAGGATAATTTATATCTTTCCTTAATATTTTGAAATTGTCTTCCTCACATTTTCTATTTGAAAAAGTATGGCAGTCTCTTTCTCATAAATCATGAAACCCCACATGGCATGGGCATCTTCCCTGACTACTTCCATTAATTTGATATCATTGACTTTTTCTTTTTATTGATTTATTTTTGTTACAGATGATTCTCCTTTTTTAACTTTTTATCTTCATTGTTTTCTCTACTTTCTGAGACATATTTTTAAGTCACTGTATTTGTACAAACTTTTTTTTTTTTTTAATTTAAATGTAAGATTGCAGTGCATTTTTTTTTTTTTTTTTTTGGTGGTACTGCCCCTAGTGGGAACGGAACCCGGGGCTCTCTGGTCCGCAGGCCAACGCTCAACCACTGAGCCAAACTGGCCAAGGCTGTACAAACTTTTAACACTTCCTATTTCATCCCTATAGTTTTTTCACTTCTCTGTCTCCGAGCATGTGACTGCAAAGTCCTCTTAAACCTTCTCATAGTACTTATCTTCTTGTCTCCAACACACAGTCCATGGTCTGGAGATAGACGCTCAATAATGAATGTTGACTGGAGGGAAATGATGGCGGGATGAGGACCAGAGAAAGGGAGAGGGCATGGAGGCAAGAGAGAGTGAGCAGAAAGAAAGGACCAGTAAGATTCTGGCAGAAGTTCTTGAAATCGAAATTCCCCCATCACTACCGTATCTTGCCTTTGTGACAGTTTTGTCGTCTGGGGTAGAAAGTCATCCTCTATTGCCTCCATAATATAGTTCTGCTCCCTTCCCTTCCGAGGATTACGGGACATGGCTTCCACTCTGTTTTTGCTATGACAACACCTCTTGTCCAACGTCTGCATAGGTTGATCTTTAAAAAGTTTTTTCCATCGCTGGGACTGCCCATGTCCAAAGAAATATCATAGCACCAACTTGCCTTCTCAGGTTTTCTTTTCACACACATTATCTCATACTAGCCACAGAGCAACTTAAAATAAGAGTGGAATGTTCTTGTCCCTGAATGGAAATGAAAAAATGAGGTGCAAAGCATTCAATAGGTAGCCTAAATTAACTTAACGGGCTGTGGCCAACGCACACAGGGCGAAGGAGTCTCTGACTTCTGACATCATCCACTTTCTGCTACAGCATCGCCAACCTTGGCTGCACATTGTACTCACCTGTGGAGCTTTAAAAGCTACTGCTGCCTGGTCCTGCTCCCAGAGATCTTGGTGTAATTGGTCTGGGGGTGTGCCCTTTACATGGGAATTTTTACAAGCTCCTCTGTTGGTTCTAATGAGCAGTCAAGACTTAGAACCATGCATGAGAATCAGACACTGCCTCTTGCATCTCAGTGCAGTTTGGAGACACTTGCCCTTATTTCTGGCTCAAAGACTCAAAGAATGAAAGTCTCCCAGGGTGAAAGCAAGCATCCCCAGGATGCTGCAGGCTGTTTGGCCTGTCTTGATGACAGCAAACATCAGGAAGCCTCCGCTCGATATTACAGGGTACACTGGTCTGAAGGAATTCTTTTCCTCCAACATAAACATTTCCTTATGGGGATCATATTCTGTCGTTAAGGTGCTGTTGCCCACAACCAGATGTAGTGGTTTGTTCTCTGCCAAACTTTTAACTTGCCATTCTATATTGATGGACAGAGAACAGTGGATCATCCATACATTTCCCGTATGATTGCCTATAATTATGAACTAATAATGATAATTATTAAAAAATTTACTGCATCTTCTTCAGAGTTCGAATTTAAATCTCAGGCTATATAGAATTGTACCCCTTAAACCTATATAATTTTATTAACCAATGTAACCTCAATAAATTCAATTAAAAAATAAATCTCAGGCTATAAAGAATAAACATTTTATACCATATTATAAAAGCAGCACAGTATAATAGGAAACAACAAATGTGAAGTGAGAGGATCTGGTTCAAGTCCTTGGGCCACAGTCTACTTGTACTAATTAATAATATAATAACCACACTTACTGAACACTCATATGGGCTAGGTGCCATTGTAAGTGCTTCAACCTGTGAGGTATGTGCTGTGATTATTCTTATCTTATAGACAAAGGAACTAGGACACAGAGAGGGTAAGAAACGTACCCAAGGTCACACAGCTGGTAAATGGCAGAGCCAGGATTAAACCTCAGCAATCTGGCTCCAGAATTTACTCTCTTTACCAATGTGTGATATTCCCTCTTACATGTGTGACCTTAGGTAAATTACTTAGCTACTCTTGGTTTTGGTGTTCTCATGTGTAAAAGAGTTATAATAATTCTAGGTCATAGGGCTGATATGCCAGTGTGCATGACATGTATTAGATGTTTAATAAATATTGGCTGATAAATAAATAAAAGAATAACACTGGAATGATTAAAAACATAATACAGAGTACATGCTATAAAGTGTTATACAAGAATAAACTTACTATTATTATGGCACATATGACTATCGATATATTTGTGGCACAAAGATATGGAAAAGAGTTATTACCCCAAATCAAAATATAACCACTCATCACTATCATAAAATAAAAAAGCGTTTAAAAATCTGCACAAGAGCGTAACAATATTTCCAGTGATAAGACTGTAACGGCAGAAAATGAAGTTATTAGAAGTTTCTCTTTTATTTCTGAGTAGTTGAAGAAGCATTCTATCATCTAAAAGCTTCATCTTTATTACTGCCAGGAAATTAGGCCGTTAAAAAAAAAAAAGTATTGGATCTCATCCAGCTGAATTATCCAAAGACAAAATGGCCAGCAGCAGATGTAAGATTTACATTTATTTTTTTAAAAATTAAGTGCTGGTTATTATTAAAGGAAAACTCTTGGAACATTCTTATAATAAATCCCTGGGGGAAGAAGAGGCAGGGTGATCATGAAATATTGCACCAAGAGCTGGAATCAAAGTCTCAGAAATTCTTCTGGGCTCGAGGTAACCATTACCAGCGACTGCCTTCGCAAAGAGGGGTGAATTACACGCGAGGTTAGTGACAGATACAGAAACAAGAGCCAGATTAAAATGTTTGATATCAAACTCTTTGGAAGAAGAAACTGCAGTTAGTGGTGCTTCATTAGTCTTCCATCTCTAATTGTTCTTTAGTGCAAGACAATCATTTCCAAATTTTGTTAATTTTGCCATGTGCTTTGATTTTTTTTTTCCCCTAGCGGTTTGGAGTCTCCAAATATTTCTTTCTACATACGTGCTATCCCATGAAGCGCAATCCTCTACCAATAGGTTTGGGATTTGGTTGAAGGAGTTGGATGCTGTCATTCCCTGAGTGTGCCAGTGGCCTCTCGACCCCGTCCGTGCTGGCTGGGGTTACTGCCCCTGGAACGCACCTGAGCCCCCCAGGCGCTCGCCATGTGTTTGCTGGGCTGACTAAGCAGCGCCCAATCACTAATATCTGAAATGAAGTAAACACTCATGTACTCTGGTATCAAAAATAATAAAATTCTTTATACGCATGGTGTTACTAAAGACTGTGTTTCTTTTTCATAAATGTTTTTTATTGCTTTTAGCTTTTAGAGATAGAGGGAGGGAGGGAGGGAGGGAGAGAGAGAGATCAACTGGTTGCCTCCTGTATGGTCAGAACCCGCAGCCTGGGCATGTGCCCTGACCAGGAATCGATTGGTGACCTTTTGGTGCATGGGGCGACACTCAACCAACTGAGTCACACCAGCCAGGGCAACACTGTGTTTCTTTTTCTTTTTCTTTTCTTTATTGATTTTAGAGAGAGAGGAAGGGAGAGGGAGAGAGAGATAGAAATACTGATGAGAGAGAGCATTGATTGGCCACCTACTGCATGTCCCCACTGAAGATCGGGCCAACAACCTGGGCATGTGCTCTGACCGGGAATTGAACCAGTGACCTCTTGGTGCCTGGGTCGATGCTCAACCACTGAACCACACCAGCTGGGCAAGACTGTGTTTCTTAAAGCACCTTAAGTTATTTTTCTTAACTACTAATCCACGAGTGAGTGAGGAAGGTAATATTTATTCACGACACAATGAATAACCAACATCCTTAGATCTAACTTACTTTTTTATATTTGTTAAGCTTAGTGCTACCTTTTGGCTGTAATTTGTGCCTTAAAGCTGGAAATTTTTGTGTGTGCAATATTTTGTTCTATTGAAACTGATTACGAGACCATCACAATGATGCGATGAAATTTGATGAGACAGCAAATGAAGGCAGTGGTCACGGCGTGGGGTGAAGTGGAGGGAAAACGTTCATGATGCTGCAGGAGATAAAATCAATAAGGCTTCATGAGGGAGGTAAAGAGGTCTAGGAAAGTTCTGTGATTCTGTCCAGGCAAGTAAATGGTGATCTACACTAACCAAGAGAAGTAATCAAGGATAAGGTCTTAGGGCAAGATAGTGAGTTCAGCTCGGGACGTCTCAAGTATGAGATGCCTGGACACAAGGAGGTGAGAAGTTTGGTGCGCAGCTATGGTGCGCGCAGAATCCAGGCGAGGGCCTGGCTAGTGGTGAGGCTTTGGCAATTACGGGAGGCAGGCTCATGAAGACCAGGGTGATGTTTGAGGTCTCTTGGAGAAAGTGGGTAGAGTGGATTGAATAATGAAGTTTTTTCTAAGGAGGAAAACAATGGGTGTCTATGGTGTCCTCTACACAAGGACAGCAGTGTGATGAGCGTGCAAGATAAAGCCTAAAACTAAAACGGATCACTGAATCTGGGGGTTGGGAAGTCACTGGTACCTGCAGAAGGCGCCACTCAGCAGAAGAGCGAAAGCAAACATATTTCAGTAAGTGTGTGTAGAGTGGATGACCTACTTTGAACCAAATAATGAAATCGTACTCTAAAGATTTGATTAAATGGGCCCAGCAAGTTGTCCAACTCTCCCCTTACTGTCTTTTAAATTCCTAATGTATGATGGTAATGTATGATTTTGCCTTAGATTAATATAATTGAAAGCCCTAGGTTTATATGGTGTGTGTGTGGGTTGTGTGTTTGTTTGTTGTCTTTCTGCTTAATACTTTCTCTGGCTTTGAGGCTTAATAATGTTTAGAGTCAAAAAGGTTCCTCCTGCTATGAAGGTTTCTTTCTGGGGTGAAGGGAATAAAGAAAACCTCATAGGATTGAGAACTTCATCTTTTATTCCTCCACTTGCCTATCTTTTCTTCTAGCTTTTAATCAGACTTCAGTCCAAGGGACTATACAAAAGGGGAACTAAATTAATAATTAGTATATAGAGCAACTAGAGAAGTTTATCACCTTCATATTGCAAATATATGTCAATCAGTCTTTAAAAGCAAGACAAGCTGAGAATAACAGAGATGAATATGCACCCCAAGGACACAGGATAAGACTGGATGGCCTTACGTGGGGTTCTGTAACATTCCGCAGCTTTGGACGTAGCTATTTCGGACCACGTCTTGTAGTAATCATCAAATGGAATTTTAATTGATCTGAAAATATAATTTAAAATCAGACAATGAGTAGTTTGTAAGCTTGCTTTTAAAAATTATTTTATCAGAGTGGGTTGTTTCAGATAACAATATCTTGTCACAAGACATTAAACTGATCTGCAGTTTCTAACAAATCTAACATTAATTCCTTCACTAATACACACAAAACACAAAAAAAGAGATCCTATCCAAATCATTTTTCAATAATTGATGTAAAGGTGCACCCTTGTGTATATTATAAAAAGAAAACTACAGGTTTAAGTGATCTGCCTTTCACGGCTAACTAAAAAAGAACTTCAAGGGAAGGATCATACCTGTATATTTTCTTTCTATAATAAATTATTTTCTGAAATTTCTATGCCAAACTTTAGTAAAATCACCTTTCTTTCTTTTTTTTTAATGAAAAGAAATGAAACACCAGAATTGAGATTAGTTTAATTTTGACACTGAATTTGGCCACTTTTAAAGAGAAAACAACTCTTTTCTATGAGTCCTGCCTGCATTTTTCCTCCCCTGTGCTAATGTTACCAGGTCCTAATGGGAAAGCCAGGGTGGATATAAAGTATTAAACAGGAACTGTGAAATAGGCTCTTAAGTAACTGCCTTTCCCAATTTTATTTTCTACAAACACTTTTGAGTGCAGTGATTCTCAACATTCTACAAACAAAACATTACTTTGGGATACTTTTTCAGACATGTGAACTCACCAAGTGACTGGCTTAGATGTTTCAACATCAACTGTAAAAGACCTTATGTCTGTGTTCCAGTTTAAGTTCCTCGCTCTTTGGAAGAAGAAGCAACTTTTCAGTTAGAACAAAGTCGACCAGCATTAATTTTTATAGGTGCCTTAAAGTAAATATTTGACTAAATTTTGAAATGAATGGGGCAATATCTAAATGTGTTAACGCAATCATTCATTTAAATGATAATTACAGACACCTAATTTTAAGGCTAACATTTCTCAAATGTGTTATTGCTTTTGCAATCACACGTAAGTAGAAATCTGAAACTTGGTGAAGATAAATTAATCACTACTATTATTGCTTCCAGAGCTCATGCAGTGCTTTCCACTACTAAATGATATACTAAACTAACATTAATTTCCCAAAGAAATGTTTCGGCGTTTGGCAACGGAGGTAACAAAATGAAAGGCTGCATTATATCTCTTGCATGAAAAAGCTTGTGATCAATTTGCTGTCACAGATCATTTAGCAGACAACAATGACCCAAGAGGAAGGAAACTGTCAACACACTGTCTCGTGAAAAAAAATACACCATCTTCAGGCACAATCGTCTCCATTGTTTTTTGTCTGTTTGACGATGACCCCTGACCCTCCCCCTTCCCAACAGTGTCCTGTTCAATTTCAAACTGTTAGCCTTCAGGGGCTTTCTTTTCTTCCCCCAGAATAATTAAAAATATTACCCTAAAAGGTATAACTTTAGTGTAGTTTGAATATACAAAGCAGAATGTCTTAAACATTTGGGAATATTTGCATTTTCAATTCTGTAAAGGAAACAGCCCCTTAAAATAAGAGAACAGGAACGATTTTATTACTATTCAGATAAACTGCTAAGTTTACAGGGATATACGCAGTATAAAAAATACATGTGTTTATAGTTTCAACCAGGAACAGGACTTTATTGAGCATTATGAGTATGGAAAAGTAGAAGACATAATTTTAAACTGAACATCAGACCTCATTATGGGGGAAATAGGATGTATACCTGAACTAGTAAATAGAACAGCTCTACATATTAACAACACAAAGTGTTAAGTCATTTAGCACAGGCATTTGGAGACGATAATGACAGATACTTCTTTGGCGATGGCAGTAAGCAGGAAAGCTGGAATAGGGAAACATAACTTTGTTTTGGAGGCTTTAGGGAAAGAGTCCCTTGGGGTGTGGACCTGGAACCAAGGAGAAAAGCATTTTAGGCCAGAGAAACATTAGCAGTAAACAGCTCAGATGGGAAGGGGCGTGGGGTGTGCGTGTGTGTGTGCGTGTGTGCATACAGAGGACGTTGGGGAAAGAGAGGACAGTAGCAAGATAATTCACTAGAGTGGAGGGTTCCAATTTCAGAGGTGTTGGAATTTGATAAGAGAAACTGGGCAATGCAGGGTCTTCAGATTCAGGCAGAGAGTGGATTAGAGTCGATTTAGTCATCCTGATTTACTAGGTGATAGAGAGCAATCCGAAGTTCTCCAGTAAGGCAAGCAAATTATGAAATCAGTGTGTAAGAGTTTTTCCTGGCACTAGTATGCAGGGTGGACTGTACGGAAAATTAAATGCTAAAGGGGACAAGCTAAGAAACAAATGTAACAGTTCAGGCAAGAGACACAGAGAGCTAACACCAGGGTGGGAGCAGAGATTACGAAGGGGAGGGGATGAATCAGTGGTAAAGAACTGGCTGGACTGGTTGCCTGAGAGGGTGTAAAAGGTGAAGGAATTTGAGGGTCAAATATTCTCCTCAAGCCCGGAAGAGCAGTTAGGTTTGCTATTAATAGAAAGCATCTAGGGAAACTGAAGTAAAATATGAGTTTAATTTTAAACACAGGTTTCAGGTGATGACCTTTAGGAGTGTGATTGAAAAATCGAGACTGGAAATAAGAGATTTGGGTCAAATCAACATAAAGGTTGATAGATGACGCCATCAGGGAAAACAAACTCTAAAAGAGTAATTAAGTGTTTAGAAAAGAAAGAGCAGAAACCAATTCATAGCTGAGAGGAGCCAGGGAAGAAAACAAAAGGATAATTAAGGGGAGAAGGGAACCGTGGTAATGTATTTCAGGGAAGCAACATCCCAGCCGTCATGATCAAACCGCTACAGGTCTCTGGATATTTGGTTGTGCAGTGTCGGGATTAAGAGGACGGGCTCTGCAGTCACCTGGCCCGGGTGAAAACACACCGTCACTGTGGCTTATTAGCTGGGTGACTCTGGGCAGATTCCCTAACCCCTCCACTTCTGTTTCCTCAACTATTAAATTAAGAGAGAATTTCTCCAGCGTCTCCTGTGAGCATTCAATGAAATCACCTATGGAAAGAGCCAAGCAGGGGGTTTAGCACCCCTCAGTGCCGTGTCAGCTGGTCTCCTAAACTGACTCGGAGAAGTACCTCGTCATTTCTCTCCTGCAAACTCTGAACAGCTTCCTATCTCAGTCTCTCCCTATTCCAGGTTGTCATGCCTGTTTGAAAACAACCTTTGGTTTCCTAATTCCATGGGGTGAACTCTAAACCCTTTCAAATAGAACTCACGGTTCTTCATTCTCCAGCCATTTCCAACCTTGACTTCCACCATCCATCCACCTCTGCAGAGGCACCATCACACGGGACTTCTGATGATCCCGAGGGGACCATAATATTACACCCCTGCATCTGTGCCCATGGGCCTAGCTAGAGACTCCTCTGCTCTCTGTGCTGTCAAACTCACTCATCAAGGCTCCAGTCCAACGGAAGTATTATGTATATGAATGTTGTTACAGTGGACATTGTGGTTGCCTCTCCCAAAACTAGTTCTTTCCCCATTTTGTATATGTCATTCAGTCTGATGGAACTGACCCCACCCCTGGCTCTAAGTCAGGGCCTGCTGGATTTAGGGCGGTCCGACAATGGTGACTAGTGTGGGGACAGGAACCTGACCTAAAAAGATCGGAGCAAAACTTATTCTAACGTTCTAGGACATCTTGAGATCTAGGAGTGTCAACCCTCTTTGTGCTTCTTCAAGGTTGCCTTGCTATTCAGAGTCCTCTGCATTTCTAGGTACATTTTAGAGCCACCTTGCTAATTTCCAGACAAATACTGCTGTAATTTTGATGGAGGTCGAGTTGAATCTATAGATTAATTTGGGAAGACTTGCCATAACAATATTGACTCTTTCCCACTCACAAACATTGTACATCTCCATTTCATTAGGTCTTTAAAAATTTCCTCCAGATTTATTTTGCAGTTTTCAATATAATTGCCTCAGTCATCTTTGTTAATTTTTGTTGTTATAATGGTATTTTTAAAATTTCACTTTCTTTCTTTTTTTTTTTTTTTTATCCTCACCCGAGGACATTTTTCCATTTTTTGTTCAGATAGAGTGGGAGGGAGAGAGAGGAACAGAGAGAGAGAGAGAGAAACATCAACGTGAAAGGGACACATCGAGTGGCTGCCACCCGCACGACCGACCAGGGCCGGGGACAAACTGCAACCGAGGTACGCGCCCTTAGCGGGAACCGAACCCGGGTCTCTCAGGACCGCAGGCCGACGCTCTAACCGCTGAGCCAAACCGGCCAGGGCAAAAATTTCACTTTCTATGTGTTGATTGCTAGTGCATAAAAATCTAGTTTATTTTTTAGTGCTCAACTTGTATCCAGGGTTGTTGCTGAATTCACTTATTAATTTTCAAGCTTTGTCTATTCACTTGGATTTTACTATGTAAATAACCTGTTATTTGTGAATAAAGATAGTTTACTTCATTCTTTTCAAATGTCATGACTTCTATTTCTTTTCCTTGCCCCATTGCCCTGGCTGGGACCTCCAGTGCAGTGTTAACTAGAGTGGCAATAATGGGCGACTTGTCTTGTTTCTAAACTCAGGAGAAAAAGTATCCAACATTTCACATTTAAGCATGAGGTAGCTGTTGGAATTTTATATATTCCTTTTATTGGAATAAGAAAATTCTTTTCCATTTCTAGTTTGCTGAGAATTTTTATCATGAATGAGTATTAAATTTTAGCAAATATATTTTCTGGGTTATTGAAATCATTCTGTGGGTTGTTTATTGTTTGTTTTCTTTTATTTTTTTTTCCCCCCTTTATTTGCTTAACATGGTGAGTTACATTGATTGATTTTGATTTTCAAGTTTTAACCAACCTGGCTTTTCTGATATTGAGCCCACTTAGTCATGATGCAGTATCACTTTTTAGGTATTTTTATTAGATTTATGCATCTGGGTTTATGAGAGATATTGGTCTATACTTTTTTTTTTTTTTATCCTCACCCGAGGACACTTTTCCATTTTTTGTTCAGATAGAGTGGGAGGGAGAGAGAGGAAGAGAGAAAAAGAAACATCGCCGTGAAAGGGACACATCGAGTGGCTGCCACTCGCATGACCAACCAGGGCCAGGGACAAACTGCAACCGAGGCACGCGCCCTTAGTGGGAACCGAACCCGGGACTGCCTGGACAGCAGGCCAACGCTCTAACCGCTGAGTCAAACCGGCCAGGGCTATACTTTTTCTTTCTTGTAATAATCTCATATTTTAGAATCAGAGTTTGAAAGTTTAGAAATATACCCATTTTCTCTATTCACTGAAAAACAATTTAGTACCTTTTTTCAAAAAAATTTTTATTTTGAGTCTAGCTGGTGTGGCTCAGTGGTTGAGCATCAACCCATGAATCAAGAGGTCGCAGGTTCGATTCCCAGCCAGGACACATGCCCAGAGTGTGGGCCCAACCCCCAGTGGGGGGCATGTGGGAGGCGGCCAATAGATGTTCTCTTTCCTCGATGTTTCTATCTGTCTCTCCCTTTCACTTCTTCTCTCTCTAAAATCAATAAAGGAAAAAATATATATTAAAAAACTTAAAAAATTTTTTTTTATTTTGAAATAACTTTAGATTTATAAAAGTTATAAAGGTATTTGACTATTTTAAAAATAAACTTAAAGTATAATTTACATTCAGTAAAATGCAGATTTTAAACATACAGGTTGATGACGTTTGACAAAAGACTACATCTTTTATAACCATAAGCCCAAACACGATATAGGGTATTTCCATTACTCCTGCCCTTTCCCAGCCCCTTCCCCGGGCACTTCGGACAATTGCTGACCTCGTTTCTGTCACCATAGATTTGTTCCGCCTGTTTGAAAACGTCATGTAGCCCTGGCCAGTTTGGCTCAGCGGTTAGAGCGTCGGCCTGCGGTCCGGAGAGACCCGGGTTCGGTTCCCGCTAAGGGCACGTACCTCGGTTGCAGTTTGTCCCCGGCCCTGGTTGGTCGTGCGGGTGGCAGCCACTCGATGTGTCCCTTCACGTCGATGTTTCTCTCTCTCTCTCCCTTCCTCTCTCTCCCTCCCACTCTATCTGTACAAAAAATGGGAAAATATCCTTGGGTGAGGATAAAAAAAAAAATTTAAAAAAAAAAAAAAGAAAACGTCATATAAATTGAATCATACAGTATGTACTTCCTTGATTACTTTGTGTTTTGTTTTATACTCAACAAAATGCCTGCATTGCTATCCCGTGCTGTTCACTCATTTTTATTGCTGAGAGTATTCCATTTATGAATACAACACAATTTATGTATAAATTCAACTGTTGGTGGATATTTCAGTTTTTTCCAGTTTGGGATACTATGGATAAAGCTCCTATCAACATTTCTGTGCAAGTCTTTTTGTGATATAATTTCTCTTAGGTAGATATTCAGGAGTGGAAGTACTGGATCACAGGGTCGGTGCATGTCCGAGGCTACAGGAAATGCTAACCCGTGTGCCACACTGGCTGTGGGCGTGTGCAGTGGTGCCGTGATGTGGCCAGGATGTCAGGGGACTGCAGTGACTGCATCCTCGCCAGCGATGGGGACAGCAGTGTTACGCAGTGGTGTGCTCTCCCAATCTCCCCATCTCAATAAACGACAGCAATACCCGCCCAGTTCAGCCACACTCTAGAAATAATTCTCGACTCCACTTTTCTCTCATACCCTACATCTAATCAAACTAAGCCTTAAATCCATCCACTTTTCTCCCTCTCCACATCCACGCCCTCAACCCCAGCCCAAAGCACCACCATCTCTCCCTTAGTCTACCCAGATAACCGAATAATCCTTCTCCTTGATTCCACCTTAAATTTTTCACAGTCCACTCTCCACACGGAAGTAAAAATAGCCCCTTTAAGCTGTAAATCTGATGGTGTCTTTCCCCTTCTTTAAAGCTGTCCAACTGCGACCCAATTCCCACTCCAAAGTCCTTACCTGGTTTATGAAGCCCTCGGTGATACTGCCCTGCCGACTCCTCTCACGTCATTGCCCACCCGTCTCCTCGCCCCCCTTGCTGAGCTCCAGCCACGGCAGCGTTCTCTCCGACCCTCTAACACCCGTGCTCCAGGCCAGGGAGAGCCTGTGAGCTGTACTCCCTCGGCCGAGAACGCCAGGGTACCTGCGAGGTCGCCCTCTCTCCCAGGCTTCACTCCTTGTTCTTCCCTTTCAATTTCACCAGCCTTGATTTCCCAACATAATACCATCCCCTAACTGATCTCACCGTGATGCTGGTGTCGCTTCTGACTAAATTTATAGTTAAGTCACTCTCTCAGACTCCAAATGTGGTACTCCTGTCATCAGAACTGTCTCCTCTTCAGAGGACAGTGTGCACTTTTAGAATATGTGTGCAGTTTTAGAATACCAGTCTTGTGAGGTCAAAGATCACATATGATTCCATTGTGTACCCCCGGCATTGTAACATAGTACCTGGCACAGAGCATATGCTCGGTGAATGTATTTTAAATAAATGAATAAATAGATAGCTGCTCTCCCAGAGGCTGTCCCATATCATATCAGCTGGTACCCTACATCCCATGGGCAGACTTCCCAGATGACAAGCAAGAGCTTAAATCACCTTCAGTTACTGAGCATCAGCTGGATCCCCCTGGCTGTGTTCTTTCTACCCAGTTGAATAGAAAGACTTCGCCTAAGTTTTGTTATTTCTTTCGAAAACAGGGTTTCAATTGCCTGGCTCTGCCTCTGGAATCCATTTCTACACAGGTCAGTCCTCCGCTCAGGATAAAGTTCTAGCCTGCGGTGCGAGTCTGACAATACAAAGAGCAGCTTCTCTCTTGGAATAATTTCTGCAAGACCTCATTGTGAATGCTCTCATTGTAAAAGCTAAAGGCTACACAGAACTGAGCCTCATCCCATATATACCAGGGGTAAACATCAGAATTCACAGCTATGTAACAAACTGCGCCTGGTATGTACGAGGAGCGCAGAGCATCACTGAAATCTAGATTGTATTGTTTCACTTGAGTTCTAGAAGTGTGTCTAGAGATTTCAGGCTAGCACTAGGTGAACACCACAAATCAGACCCAATTCTGACTTCATGTATCCTTGGTTTGGTTCAGAGGATCTGCTGAAGCTGGGACCAGAGAAGTTCCTATGGTCTGCTCTTATTGCCAAAATAGTAAATTCTGGTACCGTATCTTTATGGACTACAAATGGTTATACCACGATAGAAAGAACTTTGTGATATTCTAGGGACACTCATGTTTTACAGGTGATAAAATAATGTATGCATTCAACAACAATTCATCACAGGTCTATTTTGTGCCTGATGGTCAGTTGCTTCTCTCCACATTGACAAGTTTAAGAGGCACCAATGTCCTCTACTGAATCCCACTCAGTGTACGACTCGCTACATCATGCTTACCTTCTTGCAATGTTTCAACATTTTTGCCAACAGAAGCCACTGAAGTTATCTAATTTTACTCATCTTCAGGGCCAGTCAAGGAAACCTGAGCTGAAGCAAACATTATTCTAACGCTAGGTAATTGACTGTTTTTTTTTCATCTGATTGACTGTCAAATTAAGGATGATGGAAATGCTCGAGAAACTAATGCTGCAGAACCGTGTATGAGAACACTGACCTTGTTCACGGGTTCAAGGCTGAATTGATGCCATGTTGTCAGGCTGTCTCCCAACAGGTACAGTGGCTTCGGCCCTAACTCTCACTGTCTTCCTCTAGAGCCCGTCTTCTCCTAAATTGCTTGGATTTTTGCTATCTATAATGGTCTGTGCTCATTATATTCACAACATGCTTTTTCTTTTCAACAATAAAATATAAAAATTAAAAAAAAATAGGCAAGTTCACATAGTTACATTTACTATTAACTCAATAGTCTAGAAATAATTCAATAATTTTCCACGTTCCTCCTGAAAACATTTTTTAAAAATGTATTGTAAGAGGAAAGATATGTACTTCCTCTTCTGAGTTAAAAAAAATAATAATTCAATTATGAGAGACAATATAAACAGTTTAAATAGTCCTTTTAGTAAGTAAACTGGCATAGAATTACATGAAGAAAAACTTACCTGATACATTTATCCGAGTCTTTTAATAACTCATAGCTGTCAACTTTCACTGCAAAAAAAGAGAAAAGATCCTGCTTTACTTACAAGATTGAATATATAGCTTTATGTGCACTCTTTCTGAAGCCTCAATAAAATGGTAATAAAGGAATAAAAATAAGGTATAAAACCTCAAAGAGAGCAAAAGAGAAAGTTTCGAGATGGAGAGCCAATGTCAAGGGGTCCCAGTCTCCGCAGGCCACGGACATCTGAAACCGAACCACACGACGAGGGGAGGTCAGTGACAAGCAGGCAGATCTACACTCAGAAAGTGGAGGTACCAGATACCTGGGAAAGGTGAGAGATACAGCGCAGTCACCCAAGATCGATACCTCGTCCTGTACCCCCGGATGGTCACCACTGCCCAGGTATGAGGAAGTAATTTAATCTCTGGAGAAACTGAGTCAGAGAGACTCAAGCTGGAGCAGACGGGGCACAAAGCCGAACAAGAGCATGGTAAGGGACTGACGGTGGTGAACAGATCGAATGAATCATATTGAAGAGATTAGATTCCCACTCTCTCCCTTGTCCAGCTCCCAGAGGGCAAGCCACTGGTGCCTCTCTACAGGATCAGAGTTTTTAAAATGAGATTTAAGCAGCCTACCAAATGCCCTACATATGAATGAGGAGAAAGAGAAAAAAAAAAAAAAAACTACACCAAGAAACATTATCAAGAAATTTCAGATCACTGGGAATACAGAGAAGATTTTAAAAGCTTCCAGAAAGAAAACATCACATGTGAAGAGCTGGACATCTGAATGAAATCTGGCTTCTCAAGAGTGACGTTAGAAAAAAGAAGGCAACGAGGTCTTCACAATTCTGAGAGAAAATTATTTCCACACTAAAATTTGACCAAGCTGCGATGACATGAGAGTGAAGTGTGGTCTAGCTCATGGACTAAGAAGCCCCCGGAAGACGCGCTCTGACCAAATGAAGGAGCAAACCCACCAGGAGGAATTAAAGGATCAAGCAGGAGCTCCAATCCACAAAGCGGGGAAAGGGGTCACCCCAGGACCCGTGAGAGCGCTGCCAGTCCAGAACTGGGCGGGGGGGGGGGGGGCGGGCAGGGGTCACAAGAAAGAGGGCTCCAAGGGACGTGCACCTGACTGTCTGGGAGCTGTTTTACAGCTTTGTCAGAAAATTTAGGGGAAGAACAGAGGATAGGTATAGGAAAACAAACAAGAGAGTGAAAAACTGGGCCATTTGTACAAGGAAAGAAAAACAAACAGTCATGGCTCCTCTGTGGCAAATAATTATTAAGTCATATGAATGTAACCAAACTATATATTAAGAGAACAGGGGACAGACACTGTGGGTGGAAATGGCAGTAAAAATGCTAAATCTTTATATTTCAGGAGAAGCCTGTAAGTAACATCTACAACTGAAAACGCCAGGAACATTAGTATAGAACAAACTTAGAAATGTAGTGGTAAGTCCTGGAAGGAGCAGCTAAATGTGTTGAAAGTGACTGGTACCTTGTGTGGTTGGGGAGGCACTCTGGGTTGGGGAGGTACTCCGCGCTGACAGGGGTGAGCTATAGGTCTGCTATATGTCATTAAAACCCATTCATAGTACTTGTCCCTTACAGCTATGAACATAGATTTTTTTGATAGAAATTTTAAGTTAAAACAAACAATTTAAAGACTTTGCTGCCCGGTCGGTGTGGCTCAGTGGTTGAGCATCGACCCATGCACCAAGAGGTCGCTGGTTCGATTCCCAGTCAGGGCACATGCCCAGGTTGTGGGCCCGATCCCCAGTCGAGGGCGTGCAGGAGGCGGCCCATCAATGTTCTCTCATCAATGTTTCTGTCACTCCCTCTCCCTTCCTCTCTCTCTAAAATCAGTAAAGAAAGAAAAAAAAGACTTTGCTAAAAAGGTTACTGGACTGTTCTGGTGTAATGAAATACAAACAGGAAAAAAGAGGTTTGTAACTCCAGCAAATAGATCCACAAACACAACCCTGTTAAACTCAGGTTTTCCATATCTCCTGACACCTGTAAATAACAGGATACTGTAGCAATACGTAGCCATCACCAACAAAATAGGTCTGGAGGAGGAGCTAAAGCTCATGTGTGTCAACAAGGAAGCGTGAGACTGGGCTCAGTGTTTCCCTCTGACACCCAGAAAGTCTTTTCCCCCAGGGGAAGGGGGATCCCCACCACAGCAACAATGAAAAGTACTCCCTCTGAAAAGAAAATAAACCAAAACCTGGAATGCTATGAGACGCTGCCTGCTTCCACCGTAGAAACAATGTTCTGTAAAATTGTTCTATTGTCATGAGGATTCCAAACACAACACACAAAAAAAATCGTGAACAGACTCAAAGCTCGAATAGAAGAAGAATCAAATGCTTATGCCATCTTCCTAACCAAAAGACGAATGAGATGTAGTTGCACAATTATCAGGTTTTTTAAAAAGTTAATAATGTAAACTAATATTTTAATCTTTCTAATATTTCTATAATTCTTCTCTAACAATATCTGTCAGTTACTATATTATAGTTTATTTAAATAAGTATCTGAAGCTTATTAGCATGATCGTCCTTTATTTAACAAAAGCTACAGGAATATATACCTGGCCAAGAGAAAAATTATTACCTTAGGCTTAGCTACCATTACTCAGTTTTACTACTTTTATACTCTTGTTTTCTCTATTAACCAAAGATTTTTTAAAAAATTATATGAATCCTGTTTTAACCACATCACCACATAGAGATAAATATTTGTTGAGACAGACTGGGGAAAAAAGGGGATTTATGAGCTTATGTGAATTCCTTCATAACAAATTAGAAAGTAAGTGGCAATACTCAGAATCTAGGTGGCAAACTAACTGTTAAACATTGTCTCTGTTCAGACCTCTTCTCCTCCCTCCTCCAAGTTTCATAACTGAACTGAAGTTGAGGTTGGAAGGCACTTGGAAAACCCCCTGTTCAACTCCAGACACTGAGCAAGCAGCTTTCTGACAGCACCCCAGAAAAGCAGTCATTCAACTCTGCTAAATGACACTAGTTACAAAAGCATACCTTTGGTGATAGGGAGTTTTACTACTTGCCAATGGGGCCTTAACCACTCTTAGGCAATTTGGATTGTCAGAAAATTCCTCCTCATGTTTGGCCAGCTGGGACCTGGATGGACTTTATCATTAGGGATGGTAAACAATGGGTGGCTTTGGTTTCTAGGAAGGGTCAGTTAGGCACCTGACTGACTACATAATTTATTGTCCAAACTGAAACATAGAATGAAAGGAGATACTAGAAGTAATTATACCAGGACTGTCCCAGGCAGTCTGGTGTATTTGAGCACCCTACCTGTAAGTAAGGGAGACAGGTTCTTGGCCCCAAACAGGCTGTCAGGATATGGGAAGGTCATCGGGACCTCCACCAATTCATTGGGTTTGAGCTCAGAGCATGGTGCATTCTGGTCGATATACTGAGGCAAAGAACCAGCTCTTCAGGCGAGGCAAACATGTCAGGGAAAGTTTGGGGAATAAGACGTATTTGCATGTCTGGTTTAGGCTTCATAATTAATTTCAGACCACTGATGATGAGGAGAATGTCCTCAATGTATTCAAGTTATGCTCTGGAAACAGGCAGGACCAAGCCTGCGCATCCTGGACTTCAGCGGCTACCACCTAGCATCCCTAGAGCAGGTAGGACTGACTCAGCTTCAACATTAGTCTTGCTTTCGTTTTCTGGAACAGAAGAAATCTCCCCTTGTTATAGGAAATCCCTTCAAATATTTGAAAACAGCTTTTACAACGGTCTCTTATCTTTTCTTCTACTAGCTAACCCTCCAGTTTCCTCAGCCATGGGAAATGCATGTTCCAAACTGAGCACGCGGATGTCCCAGGTGAGGGCCCACCAAACTGGAATACCGTGAGTTATCATCGAAAACAGCTCCACGAGTTCCTATGAAGCTTGTGGTCAAAAAGCTTCCCAAGAATTTTTTCACAGAAGAGAGTTCTGCTATCACGTCAGGTCTCTTCCTTTCTGTACTTAGAAACTTCAATTCTTTGATCCTAAACGAATGACTCTACGCTCGCCCCACTGCACGGGGAGGTGCGAGGGAGTTGGGGCTGTGGCTCTGCAGCCCTCTGTGCCCTTGGGCTTCGTCCTTGATCCCTGGGCTTCATCGCTGATCCTCGGCTTCCTCACTGAGGATCAGATGCGTAAACGGACTCTGTCAACTATGACGTAAAACCAGGATCTAACATCATGTGAACTTTTTCGCTCATTCATTCTACAGAGTTTTATTTCATATCTACAGCCAGACTCTGCATTCGGTACTGAGGATCTAGTTCTAGCCTATAATTGATGCCTGCAGAGATGATACAATTAGCGGCCTCTTGAGTTTCTCATTTATACAATTAACCATCTGTTTCAGTTTTGTGTTATCTGAAAATAGAATTCTTTCTACGCGTTTTCTAGATCTGTTTATTAATATAGTAAATACGTATGGGAGATGGTTCTTGCAGCACTCTGGTAGAGACCTTTGTTCAAGTTGTTATGGGTAATGAACTGTCCTTGGATGCAGTGTTTCACAGAAAAGCCACATGGTGCTGTACCACCATCGAATGCAGAGTGAATGAGTTTTCTGCGCGTCCTCATCGTCCACCCAGGCGGCGTCTCTGCTGTTTCCCAGCACCTTCCCCTGTGAAGCTGCAGAAAGTCCTTCTCTTCGTGGTGTCCGAGGCTCACACTCCCAGCCCAGCTGAGATGGCAAGTGAGCTGATAACTGTGTACTGTCTTGATTGCCACATATCTCACCAGTGTAAAGAATGTAGCAAAAACCTGCCGAAGTATTATCTGTCTGGTTGCTCACTTGCTGGGTGAGTTGGCAATTGGAGCAGCTTTTCTCTGTGGTTTGGTGGCAAAGTTGAAGAAGTGAAAGGAGTGAACGCTGATGTCTACTGGACGGAGGACAAAAGGAAGGGCCAATGTTTCCTCGGTTTTCTTTTCATCCTTTCTCTCTGCGGGGCAAAGACAAAATCTATTGCACAGGAACATGTGTTGTAGAAAATTCTTTAAAATCAGCTTTTAAATGTCCACTTACCAGAATATGGACATAGCTTTGTTACAGAATCTTCCTTTATGATGACAGTCCCTCAAGGCTCAACACAAGGTTAAGTGGAATTATCCTTCCTTCCTTCATTCATTACACAAATAACTACTGAGTGCAGAGGATACAGCATGGATGCTACAGTATTCTGGTCAGCTACAAATGTGGTCAGACTAAAGCAACATGACTCCTCTGTGTACAAACCAGCCCCCAAACCCTCAGGGGCTGTCTGAGGAACCCACAGAAATCATGACATGTTTGAAGAGACTGAAAAAGATGCCCAATCAAACTGCTTGGTTTGCAGGAGACCCAGAAGCCCTGTGGAGGAGCACTTGAACTTGGTCGTAACTGTACAGACCTAGCTAATGGACTGGCAGGTTCTACAAGGGGACTGGGAAAAGAGGGAATGGACATGTGAGAGTAAAGCTCATGACATATAGGTACGAACAGCAGAATGAGTTTGAATGGCAAGGCCTGCTGACTCACGAGGTGATGACACCAGCTACTATGCGAGGTTGTTGTGCACTGTGGGAAGAGGAGGGGCAGGACGTCAAATAACTATGTCACTAGGGGCCCACCCCTCACTGTGGCGAACCCTTCTGGGCATAAGAAGCCAACAGCATTGTTCTGCTAACTGCAGAGAGAGACAGGAGCAATGAAGGTGATGGAGTTAAGTCATGCAGAGGTCACTGGCAGGGTGACAGTGAGCAAACCAAGGGTATCAGAAAAACGCTGGTCAATAGAGAGAAAGACGGAAGAACCAGATATCATTTTCACATGGACACTTAGAAGGAATACCTTGGGGGGTGGGGGGGTGACCTCTCCAGAAAAAAATATGCTGAGCATTTTGCTAATCAAGAGGAAAGGAATCCCAGATCAATAAGATCTGGGGTACTACAGGTGAAACCTAGGAAATATCCATTATAGATCAAAGAGTTAAAATTAGATGTCATGTCTTTACGATGAGTAGACTAGTTTCCATTGGCACCATCCATCCATGTGGCCATAATATTTAAAGATACTAAGCTGACAATCTTCAATAACCTTTTAAAAAGACCACACTAATTGGTCTGACAAAGAGTACAATAGGAGAGATCACAGTACAATTTCATTACTAAAAATGGATGCAGAAAATATTCTACATAACAATTATTTGCTAGATCACTTATTTGCTGTAAATATAGAATCAGTAGGCAAATAATAATTAGGCACATCTTACATTGTAATGGTTCACGGAAAAGTTTTTCAACTATTAGTCTGTACGTAGATTCATCTTCAATCAGTATTCTGGCTGCTTCCAAATTAACTGGATTGTTAAGCACTGGATTAGAAAGCATAGCCTATACAAAAAATAAAGAATGTAGTTTTATCACAGTAAATTTTTCTTAAAGCAAAAAGACCAACCACTACGTACAGCATTCAAGAAGCATTTATTAAAAGCCTACAACATAGCTAACTGAAGATGATACAAACACAAATTAGAGAGGGTCTCTGCTCTCAAGAAATTCTTGTTCTTGGGTTGTTAATTTTATTTTTCAATTACAGTTGACATTCAATATTATTATTATTTTTTTTATCCTCACCTGAGGATATTTTTTGTATTTATCTTCAGATAGAGTAGGAGGGAGAGAGGGAGGAAGACAGAGAGAGAAACATCTATGTGAGAGAGACACATTGACTGGTTGCCACCCACACGACCCCAACTAGGGTCAGGGACAAAATGCAACCAAGGTACATGCCCTTAGCGGGAACCAAACCCAGGACTCTCTGGTCCATGGGCTGACGCTCTTACTGCTGAGCCAAACTGGCCAGAGCACATTCAATATTATTTTATATTAGCTTCAGGTGTACAGCATAGTGGTTAGATAATCATATAATTTATAAATTGACCCCCTGATATTTCAAGGCACCATATACAGACAGTTATTACAATATTGTTGACTATATTCCCTATGCTTTACCTAACATCCCCAACTTGTACTTCTTTTTTTTTTTTTTTTTTTATCCTCACCCGAGGATATTTTTACATTTTTTGTACAGATAGAGTGGGAGGGAGAGAGAGGAAGGAGAGAGAGAGAGAAACATCGACGTGAAGGGACACATCGAGTGGCTGCCACCCGCACGACCAACCAGGGCCGGGGACAAACTGCAACCGAAGTACGTGCCCTTAGCGGGAACCGAACCCGGGTCTCTCCGGACCGCAGGCCGACGCTCTAACCGCTGAGCCAAACTGGCCAGGGCCCAACTTGTACTTCTTAATTCTGTCACCTTTTTCACCCAGTCCCCTAACCCCTCTTCCTCTGGCAAACATCAGTTTGTTCTCTGTACCTATGAGTCTGTTTCTGTTTTGTTTGTTCATTTATTTTGTTCTTTAGATTCAGCATAGAAGTGAAATCATATGTTATTTGTCTCTCTCTGTCTGATTTATTCCACTTAGCACAATACCCTCTAGCTCCATACATGCTGTTGCAAATGGTACAATTTTATTCTTTTTTTATGACCGAGTAATATTCCATTGTGTGTGTGTGTGATCTTTTTTTATCCAATTGTCTACTGATGGACACTTGGGTTGCTTCCATATCTTGGCTATTATAAATAATGCTGCAATGGGGTGCATATATTTTTTTGAATTAGTGTTTTGGGTTTCTTCAAACATAGAAGTGAAATCTCTGGGTCATAAGGCAGTTCTATTTTACATTTTTTTGAGGAAACTCCATACTGTTTTCCATAGTGGCTGTACCAATCTGCAATCCCACCAACAGTACACAAGGCTTCCTTTTCGCTACCTCCTCGCCAACATTTGTTGTTTGTTGATTTACTGAGTATAGACATTCTTGACAGGTGTGAGGTGATATCTCATTGTGGTTTTGATTTGCATTTCTTTGATAATTAGTAATATTGAACATCTTTTCATATGTCTATTGGCCATTTTCTGTATGTCCTCTTTGGAGAATTATTTATTTAGGTCCTCTGACCATTTTTTTTTTTTTTTTTTTTTTTTTTTTTATCCTCACCCGAGGATATTTTTCCATTTTTTGTACAGATAGAGTGGGAGGGAGAGATAGGAAGGGAGAGAGAGAGAGAGAAACATCGATGTGAAGGGACACATCGAGTGGCTGCCACCCGCACGACCAACCAGGGCCGGGGACAAACTGCAACCGAAGTACATGCCCTTAGCGGGAACCGAACCCGGGTCCCTCCGGACCGCAGGCCGACGCTCTAACCGCTGAGCCAAACCGGCCAGGGCCCTCTGACCATTTTTTAACTGGATGTTTTCTGTTTGTTTTTGGTGTTGAGTTGTCTGAGTTTTTTATAAATTTTGGATATTAATTCCTTATCAGATGTATCATTCAGTAGGTTGTCTTTTAGTTTTGTTGATGGTTTCCCTTGCAAAACCTTTTTAATTTGATGTAGTCCCATTTGCTTATTTTTTCTTTTGTTTCCCTTCCCTGAGGAGATATAGCAGAAAAAAATATTGAATATTGCTAAGAGAAATGTCAGAGAGTTTACTGTCTATGTTTTCTTCTAGGAGTTTAATGGTTTCAAATTTTACATTTAAGTCTTTAATCTATTTTGAGTTTATTTTTGTGTATGGTATAAAAGGTGGTCTAGTTTCATTTTTTGCATGTGTCTTTCCAATTTTTCCCAACACCATTTATTACATTTGATCTTGGTTTTATACTGTACACTCACAAGCCAAACATTAGGATCAAAGCAAATTATAAGTTCTGTCCTATAACTTATTCTTTCCTATAACATAAATTTAAATTAGATTTATGTATAAAGAGAACCAAACATTAGGAAACATTGAAATATTTCCATTAAAAAAAGAAAACTTTAATTTAAACATGAGATTTTATTTAGATAACAGATCAAACAAAATTATGTATTAAGGCTTATGTACGCTTCATTATCCCACTAGACCGTCAAATGATTAGTTATCTGTATTAGTTGTCTGTCTTATTTAAAAAAAAAAAATCCTCACTCAGGAATATGCTTTCATTGACTTTTGGAGGGGGAGGGGAGAAAAACATTGATCAGTCGCTTCCTGACGTGCCTCAACGGGGGATTGAACCTGCAACCTAGGTATGTGCCCTGACTGGAAATCAAACTCCAAGAGGTCTCATGCAGGTCCTTACTTGGACCCTTATATCTCAGAGGCAGTAAAGGTGTGAAAACTCCTTCACATTCTTGGAGTTTCTCTCCTGCCACATCCCTTCTCCTTCTTCCACTGTATTTCTCTGAGTGACTTTCTGCCTTTCTCTTCTATTGTTAAGGGGTTATTGATTATTTGGGGCCCCCCCTGCATAATTCAGGATAACCTTCCAATTTTAAGGTCAGTTGATTAGTAACCTTAAATCCATCTGTAAAGTCCTTTCACAACACTACCCAGATTAGTGCTTGATTAGATAATCAGAGGATGGGAGACTCAGGGAATACCCTTAAAATTCTGCCTACCATAATATATGCACATCTGGACAAAACGGGACCAGCAGTAACCAAAACTTCAGTTATGCTAGACCATGATCTTGTTTGTGTGCCACCTCAAAATTAATATTAGCTCAAATTACAAATATTTATTCAATAGTTCAATATTTTGAATATTATATTATAACATGGAAATGATATAATAAAATGTAGCCAAAATATATAACTAACTAATAGAACATCTTAATATAGATACAGGTAAAAGTGGGAATTGTGATTTAAGAGTCATGGAAATGATGGCAATCTTTCACTAATGAAAGCAACAATTTGACATTTGATACTCCAAAAGCAACAAGAATTCTCTGCTATTTCAGTTTTCCTATTGGGAAAACACATTTGAGCTACATTTCCAAGAATGTTATAATTGCTTAAATAAGGATTCAATGTGAATGCACTATACCTTTCAAAGTGGGTGGGAAGCAGATGAAACTTATCTTCTAGCACAAGCATTAGGTCTTTGGCTGGGAAGATAATTTTGCTCAGAGAGGAACATCTGGTAAAGTTTATTCAATAGTCTTCACATTGACACTGTGCCTAAGACCTTTTCACATAACGTGTACACATGCTACTAAGTCTATTTAATGATTTTTAAGAACTGGAATATAAGGAATATATTAAAATGTATAAATCAGAAGCCCTGCTAACCTGGTAAAAAATAAAAGTCTGACATTTAAATGAGCCATGTGATGGTATAAAATAACGGAGGAAGCTCTGAGAGGCTAAGTACAAAAATCTGAAACATCATGAATTACTGCACCAAGAAGCATATTTTATAGTATCCTATTAGTTAAAGCCCAGAAATTAATTCATTCTGTGGATGGGTGTTGATATTTACCTTTGCATTATACATGGAAGTGTTAAAAAATAAGATTATAAAAATTTTAGGAGACGATTAGTATATTTGGATATATATAGAGAGATAGATAGATAGATATAGATATAGATATAGACATAGAGATATAGATATAGATATATTTGACAGTATTAAAGATGTCTCTCATTTTCTCCCTTTTTGCTCCCCTCCACCCAACCCCCATCCCACCCGCCTTCCCCATACCATTCCCTGTGTCCATGAGTCATGCACATATGCATATATATTCTTTGGTTAAACGCTATTTCAAGTATCACTCTCTTGAATAACAGTGTGTTAATTATAAATGTGTCTCATATATTATTCAAAGGGAAGTAATCAGAAATTATGGTCTATACTTGAACTGTCCATTACAGTAGTCTCCAAAGACATGTGACAATTTAAAATTAAATTACTTAAAATAAAATAAAAAAATTCAGTTTCTTACTGACATGAGCCACTTTCCAAGTGCTCAGTAACCACACCTGACTAGTGGCTACTATATTGGACAGCACAGAGAATGGACATTTTCATCTGTGCAGAAAGTCCTGTTGGGCCACACTGACCTTGAAAAGACTATTAAATAGCCATTAAAATATTAACTGTAGCAATACGGAAATTACTTGAGATAAAATGTCAAGTGAAAAAGAAATAGGCTATATAATTTATACATATGTGCCATAATTGCAACAATGTAAAAATTCAGGTTCATTCCTTCATTCATGTGACTTAGCACATACTAACTGTCAACATTATCCTGAGGGGGTCAAAGGTGAACCAGACCTGTTCCCTGACCTTGAGGAGTTTGTAATCCAATAAAGGAAGACAGATAAGGAAACTGTGTACGTTATAGTATCACAGAGCTCTGAGAGAAATTTGCTTAGGGTACTTTACTGGGTAAGGGGCAAAGGAAGTCCCTCAAAATCCAAAACCATCAATTCCACCTCAGAAAGGAAATCAACAACGGCATTCCAGAGGACTTATTTGATCTGACTTTATAATGTGAGCCATGGCTTGCCAGACAGACTGAAGAAGAGGGAAGGAGAAAATGGGTTGCTAGTCACTTGGAGAACTGGCCTGAGCACATTTTAAGGTCTAAGACTTGCTTGAGTTTGTAACTTTAGAGTTTAGAACTCTATCGATGCTTTGAAATTTGAATTGAACCAAGCACTCTGAGTGAAGAAAAGCATGAAGATATAATAGGAATGGGATGGCCCCGTGTGTTAAAGCCCAGGTGTGAGGAGAAGTAAATCATTGTCAGGCAACAGAATTGGGCTTAACCCTGTAGTGAGTGTGAAACTGAAAGATTTTAAACAGAAAAATAGGAGAAAAGATGAGAAGGAAATGCTAACAACAGTAAGATTTGGGTTTTCCTTTAAGATTATTAGTAATTTTCCTTTCCACTGTCTTCAGACTTCTATAATGGAGACATATTTGTTTTATAAATCTGTTTGAAAAATAAAAAACTTTGTCATCGATTGGCTTCCCATGATGTATTTCCATGACAGTACTTTGTCACCACTTTGCATTACTGTTTAAAAGTAGGAACAATTGTAATACTAACTAGCTTTTATTGAGTTATTTTCTTAGACCACACATGGTTCTGAGTGTTTTACATGTATTAGTTCATTTAATCCTTACAAATCTATGAGGCAGCTACTATCAGATCCATTTCACTGATGAAGAAATTGAGGTATGCAGAAGTAAAGAAACTTGTCCAATAGTTCACAGGTGTTAAGTGGCGAAACCAGAATGTGAAGCCAAGCAATGTAATCTCAGAGCCCCAAATTTACCTTTTATTACATTACTCAGCAATTCAGAACGTTCACCGTTTCATCCTGGTTTGTCCTCACTCACTACATTGGGGATCATTCAGTTTTCTTTTCTGAAGGCAGATCCTAGTTTAGGTGGAACAGGTAGGTAGGAATGTGACCCAGTTTAAAGAAACCCACAAGATCAAAGGTCACCCCAGGTGACCCAGTTTAAAGAAACCCACAAGATCAAAGGTCAACCCCAGTGAACCATGCTCACTCACTTCCTTAAAGCACTTAAATCTCTCTCCCAGCACACAGCCTGGCACAGGTAGATGTTCAATACACATATGCATAACTAATTAACCATTGGATCTCTAAAAAGATTAAATTTTACTCAGTACAGAAAGATAGCTAGACAGAAAACTATTAGTTTATTTTAATTGGAAAGTAAGAAATGGGAGAAATAAAATTTGTATTATAATTTTGCTACTGAAAAAATTCCATTAAGCCATAACTTTATTCTCCAAGTATTCCAGATAATCAAAATGTAATCATCTATCTTGGGATATTAATGATGAGCTGGATATAAGTGCTCGAAGCAAGTGCCACACATCATTTACTTTGGCCTGGATGAGAAAGGAGGTTCCGAGAGGGTCAAGAATAACAGCACACTGAGGCATGCTTCTCGGGACCATGGATCCAAGAAATACAGAGGGTATTCTAGAAACAGGCACCTACCTGAGGGGAGAAGAAAATCCCTGGTTTAATTGTTTACTGGACAAATAAGCAAAACAGAAACAGACTCATAGATAAAAGAACATTTTGACAGTTGCCAGATGGGAGGAGGTTTTGGGGGGATGGGTGAAAGAGAGGAAGGGATTAAAAAATACAACTTTGTTGTTACAGAATAGTCGTGGGTATGTAAACTACAGCATAGGGAATACAGTCAATAATATTCTAATTACCACGTATGGTGTCAGATGTTTAAGAGATTTATCGGGATGATCACTTGGTAAGTTATATAATGAATGTCTAATCACTGGGGTGTACACCTGAAAGTAATATAATATTGTATGTCAACTGTAATTGAAAAATAAAAAATGGTTTAAGAAAGGAAAGCGTGTAAAAGAGCAAGTCGCTAGCACTGTGAGAAACAAAAGGTAAAGCTGAACATTTTAGGTCACAGTTACTTGACCCACGTCTCTGAAGGAAGGCAAGGTTCATACATGAGGGAAGATCTAAAGGCTGTTCAGTATTATGAGATGAAATTAGGAACCAAAAGAAAATGTAAGACTGTATTTCTAGAATTAAAACCATCCAAACAGTTTTCTTTTCTTTTCTTTTTTTTATTTTTTATTTGGTTAATCTTCACCCAAGGGTATATTTCCACTGATTTTTTAGAGAGTGAAAGAAAGGGAGGAAGAGGGAGGGAGGGAGGGAGGGAGAGAGAGAGAAACATCGATGTGAGAGACACATTGATTGGTTGCCTCCTGCACCACTCCAACCAGGGCCAGGGATCGAACCAGGAACCCAGGTATGTGCTGTTAACTAGAATCGAACCTGCAACCCTTTGGTCCATGGGCTGATGTTCTAACTGCTAGGAAAACCGGCCAGAGCTTTTCTTCTGTTATAAAATATGTATTCTTTGGTTGTCATTTTAAAGTAATAGTCTTTATGGTGGGGGAGAGATAAACCACAGAACTTATATGCATGTGTGCATGAACAATGGACATGGACATGGACAACAAAGCTGGGGACAGGGCGGGGGGGGAGGATTAATGAGGGGAAAAGGAGAAACATCTGTAACAGAAATAAATTAATTAATTAAAAAATCATAAAGTAATGGTCTTTATAATTCACGTTCCATTTTTTATTTTTTTATCCTCACCCGATGACATTTTTCCTTTTTTTTGTTGTTCAGCTAGAGTGGGAGGGAGAGAGAGAGAGAGAGAAACATCTACGTGAAAAGGACACATCGAGTGGTTGCCACCCACACAACCCAACCAGGGCTGGGGACAAACTGCAACCAAGGTACGTGCCCTTAGCGGGAACTGAACCCAGGTCTTTCTGGACCGCAGGCTGACGCTCTAACCGCTGAGCCAAACCGGCCAGGGTTCAAGTTCCATGTTTATAGTCTTGATATAGAAATGTTACTGATTTAAATAAGCTTACTTGAGTCTTTTAAACATTTAAATATGCATATGTTTTATTTCTTATATTTTGAATAACTGAGATACTTAAAAGTATTAAAGGGGGCATTTATATTAATCTCTTCTTACCTGAAGGGTAAGTAAGATGCTGCTCAATGTATAGCTTGAGTTCCAGTGATGAAAGTTGTCCAAAAAATCTATACAGGGTCGACCAGTATATTGGTCTACTGTATTAAAATAATAAATTAATAGTAACATAGTTGTAATAAAATTTTATTTAAAGCTTATGAACACCCAGATGTGATAGGTAAAATTAGAAAACATATGACAAAGCAGAAAAATTATTTCCAGTGAATATGACAGTTAATACAGTGTGTTAAAGGCATGAACCGTATGTCAGACACACAGATCTGAACGTTGACGCTGTGTGATGTTGAACAATTGACCATTAACCTCGTTCATCTCACTTTCCTAATATATGTAGAAAGGGGATATGATTAAAGTACCTGCCTTCACTGTAAAGAATGAATAAAATAAAGTACTCAGTAGAGTACCTGGTATATAGTGAATCCTCAAAAAATGATAGTTATCTTTATTAATGATACTTTTATTAATGTGTAAATATATATATATTTTATCCTTACCCTACAACCTTTTTTGCATTTATCTTCAGATAGAGCAGGAGGGAGAGAAGGAGGAAGAGAAACACAGAAACATCGATGGGAGAGAGAGACATTGACTGGCTGCCACCCACCCCACCCAGACTAGGGCTGGGGACAAACTGTAACCAAGGTACGTGCCCTTAGTGAGAACAGAACCCAGGTCTCTCTGGTCCGTGGGCCGATGCTCTAACTGCTGAGCCAAACCGACCAGGGCAATAATTTTTATAAATGAACAAGAAAAACGTTTATACTGCAACAGAAAAACATATTGTAATAAAAAAGGTAAAAACTGAGGAGAAAATTCTGAAAAGATAAAAGGGGTTTCTGATTTACTGTATTACATTGTGTAAAACTACAATAATTGTAACAGTGGGACATGTGATCGGACAGAGTAATGGAATAAGAGAATTTAGAAACAAATTCCAGTATGGCCCTGGTGGGTGGCTCAGTTGGTTGGAGCATCTTCCCGAATACGCCAAAACGTTGTGGGTTTGATTCCTGGTTAGGGCATATGCTGGAGGCAACCGATGGGTGTTTCTCTCTCATATCTATGTTTCTCTCTCTCCAAAAATCAATAAAAACATCCTCGGACGAGGATTAAAAAAAATCTAGTATGTATTAAAACAATTGTATATTAAAAGTAAAATTATGTTTCAGTGGTGAAAGAAAAGATAATAAGAAATGTTATAAAACATGTTGCTGCAGCCCTGGTCGGTTTGGCTCAGCAGTTAGAACATTGGCCTATGGACCAATGAGTTGTGGGTTCAATTCTGGTCAAGGGTATGCACCTCGGTTGCAGTTCGTCCCCGGCACTGGTTGGGGTCATGCGGGAGGCAACCAGTCAATGTGTGTGTGTGTCTCTCTCTCCCTCTCACTCTATCTGAACAAAAATGGAGAAAGTATCCTCGGGTGAGGATTAATAAAAAAATAAAAAAAACATGTTGCTGCAAAATACTCATTGTCCTTCAATATCTACCTTTCTTTCCTCCATTTATTCTCTCTGTAGTGAGGCTGTACCTGTCCCCAATTCCCACTACCCTACACTGTTTAGTTGACTACAACGTTGCTCAGACGATTTTCCCCTGCCTCCCCTCTAGAAAGAAGCCATGTGACTAAGTTTTAATCATGGGATATCAGTAGAAGTTAAAGTATACAACTTTTGGATCAGATTTTCTTAAGGAAGATGTTTTGCCTTCTTTCTCTTTCCCCCTTCCCATTGGTTGGAAATGGTGACAAACAGTAAATGCCTTAGATCCAGAAATAGAAGCCATATGCTGAGGAAGCTCCCTGGCGGCTTTGTTCTATTACATATAGATTGGAAAGATAAACAGAAGCTAGGTCTGTGCACCGACACAGTTAATGAACTTAATCCATATATTAAAAAAAAAAAGAGTTAAATATGAAAAATAAAACTATAGAATAACTACAAGAAAGGTAAAATAATTTAATTGGGTTTGGGGGAAAGAACCTCTAAGCTTAAAGACAACTGTAAAAATCTCAAAGGACAAGACTAATAAATAGGTCTACATAAATTTTTTTTTTTTTTGGTTCAGAGTGGGAGGGAGAGAGAAGAAGAGAGAGAGACAGAAACATCGACGTGAAAGGGACATATCGAGCGGCTGCCACCCACTCAACCAACGAGGGCCAGGGACAAACTGCAACCAAGGCACGCGCCCCTAGTGGGAACCGAACCCAGGTCTCTCTGGACCGCAGGCTGACGCTCTAACCGCTGAGCCAAACCGACCAGAGGGGACTACATAAAATTGTTAAAATCTAAGACGTAAAGAACAAAACAAAACACCTTGCATCAACAAAATTGAAAAATTAATGACAAATGAAAAAAATATTTGCAACATCTAGGACAATGTGACATTGTTAATAAGCCTCACAAATCACAAAATAAAAGGCACAATCAAGAGATGTGAAAAAATGTTAAACTCACAAGTATTCAAAAAAGTGCATATTAAAATAACAGAAAGAATCTTTTTTAAAAATATGTCTTATTGATTTTAGACAGAGAGGAAGGAGAAAGGAGAGAGAGAGAAACATCAATGTGAAAGAGAAACATCGAATGGCTGCCTTCTGCACGCCCCTTACTGGGGATTGAACCTGCAACCCAGACATGTGCCCTGAACAGGAATCGAACCAGCAACTTTTTGGTGCATAGGACAATGCTCAACCAACTGAGCCACATTGGCCAAAGCACAGAAATGTTCTTTTTTTTTTTTTAAATTCTCACCCATGGATACTTTTCCCATTTATCTTCAGTCAGAGTGGGAGAGAGAGAGAAAGAGAGAGAGAAACATTGATATGAGAGAGACACATCAACCAGTTGCCTTCGCCATGACCCTGACCAGGGCCAGAGATGGAACCGCATCCAAAGTACTTGTGCTTGACTGGAATCGAAGCCACGACTCCTTGGCCTGTGGGCCGATGCTCTAACTGCTGAGCCAAACCAGCCAGGGCGGAAGATTCTTATTAAATTGGCAAAAAATATTTCTCCAATGTTTCAATGCTTACAAGTGGAGAGTGATAAAATGTGAACTTTATATATGTTTCCTAATGGGATTGCAAATGATAACACTGAAAGGCAATTAGGTTTTATGTACCTAAAGACTTAGAACTGTACATACCCAGTTTTTGTTGTGTGGGGGCTAACAACACTCCTCTCCTCCAAGGTTTGTATACAATAAAATAGACCAGAGTGTGAAAGATGCAAGTAAAAAATATCAGCTTTATGGTACATAAGACTGAAATGGAGAACGCTGATCAATGCTTTAATCAAGTTCCACAAAAGTCCTCCTGGTTTGAACTTAATCCCTCAATTGGAGGCCTTGCCTAGGCTTCCTGTCTGAAGAAACAAAGGCTGCACCCATCCCAAGGTCAGACTTATTGGAAAGAAAGTTTTGAGAAACTGCTGAGCCAGACATGCTAAATTCTTTCTCACATCTCTCCAATTCGTTAAGTCATTCCTCCTCCTGGGAGAGAAAGAGGAGCAATCACAAGTTTTCCCATATTTCCCCTTCCTCTTTATTCATGCATAAAAATGCAACAGATTTTTGTGTCTTAATTTTGTACACTGCAACTTTACCAAATTTGTTCATGAGTTCTAACAGTTTCTGAGGAAAGCCTTTATTAATTTTTGTAATATACAATATCATGCCATCTGCAAATGGCAGTTTTACTTCTACCTTTCCAATCTGGATGCCTTTTATTTCTTTTTCTTACCTAATTGCTCTGGCTAGAACTTCCAATGCTATGTTGGATAAAAGTGGTGAGAGTGGGCATCCTCGTCTTGTTCCTAATTTTACTTTATATATTTTTATATAATATTTTCCCCAACTACATAATTACTTTTGTAATTAAAAAATATTTTTTAAGAATATAATTAAATTTATGATACAAAAATCAGTTGTGTACATTTGCCATTATTTGTGTAAAATAAACTCTTAGGAGTGGAATTACTGGATTAAATACAACGGAAAGAGGTATTTCTGTCCCCTTGTCCTCACCTTTCATTTACACAGAGCAGATTTTCCTTGTGCTGTTTAAGAGTAATATATGTAAAGCTATAGGATATTTCATTTAAAAAATGTTCTATATTAATGTATATTGGAATTATTTCCCTTTTTCTATTGTTATTGGAAACAAACACCTTTTTAAATAAACTCTTGCATACTTGGGCTAATATTTCTAAGGGATAATTTATAAACATGGTATTAGAGGGATTTAGGACTATTTGCATTTTATATTTGATTAAAAGCTGTCAAATTGCTTCCCAAAAAGGACACACTAAGGGCAACACATCAGAGTACCCAATTTTCCCACATCTACTAAACTTATTATTTTAATATTCTACAAATAATGAATCACAATTTTTATGCATTTCATGTTCAGTCTTAATATGCATTTTTCTTATTAGTGAAGTGGAACATTTTTTACATTTATTTTTGTTATGTTCCTCTATCAAGTGTTCATTTACAGTCTTTGTCCATTTTTCTATTGTTTTATGTTGTTTTTCTTAATGATTCTCACATACTCTTTATATGTTACAGATACTATGTTTTATGTATTATAAATATTTTCCCTCAATTTGCAAATTAATGTATTTTGTCTCTGTTTATAATGTCATTGGCTGTGGAGAAGTCTTAACAAGTTTATGTAGTTTAATGTGTCATGCTTTTCCCATGCTTTCTAGATTTTATCATACTCAGAAAGGCTTTCTTCACTAAGCCCATAAAAAGTTCTATTAAATTTCCTTCTTTTTAGCCTTTAAAATTTTAGATTTTTAAAATCAATCATAAATACACTTTGTGTATGACAAAGTAGCGATTTAACTTATTTTTAGCTAAATGTTAAATTGTCAATGTATCGTATTTTATAACAAAAAATTAGTCCAACTAAAATACTGAACAATACAGGAATAGTTAAGTTTATCATTCACTCATTAAAAATGATCTTTTGAAGAATGTTTAATAATGCAGCAATAAGCTTATGTAATATTAAATTTAAAAAAAAAAACAAGATACAAAGCTTTATATCTAATGCCTCAACTATGTAGAAAAAGAACGTACATAGAGAAAAAAGGAAATAAATTTAGTTAAATGTCAAGAGTAATATCTCTTTGAATTGGGATTCAGGTGATAATTTTTCTTTTTATATTTTCCCCAATAACATGCTTACTTGTATAATCATAACATAGTTGTGGTTATATTAAAAAGAAACATTATTAAACATTAATACAAAACAAAGATATTAGGGACAGAGCCTCTGATGATAAAAATCTCATTTGGTCCTTACCATTTGGATGAAAAGGAATGGTTTTAAATGTCACAACTGGAGGGACAAGATTATATTCCGATGTAAAATTTATTGCCAGTTGGAAGTATATTCCTATAATATAAAAATAAACATGTTTACTAGGGTCATGTTGTTTTGATTAACTGTAACCTGATTAACACTAAAGTTTCTTCCAATAGTTTAGCCTCCCAAGGCCCCTAGAATTTTATTCTTAAGTGAATTGGATCATAGGTGCATAGCTCCCTCTAGATAGTGTAAGAGACTCCTCACAATCTAATCCCACTATTTTATCAGCCTGTTTCCATCCACTAACTCAGTCCCCCTAACACCTGCCCTATTCACTGTGAATCTCATATTGACTGAACTCAAACCTGGTGCCATGCTATTTATTCTGCCTGAATATTTTTCCTCTCCTTCTAAACCTGGCAGACTCTTATGCATCCTTTTTGTTTTAATTGCCGAGGGAGGGAGAGAGAGAGAGAGAGAGAGATTGAGAGAAATATCGATGTGAGAGAGAAACATTGGTTGCTTCCCACACACACCGTGACTGGGCATCAAAATACTCTCCTTCCCCCCTGCAACCTGGGTATGTGCCCTGACCAGGAATCAAATCTACCACCTTTTGGTGTAAGGGACAACAGTCCAACAAACTGAGCCACAAGACCAGGTCACTCTTATGCATTCTTTAGGACTCAACTCAAATATCACTTTCTGCCCTGGCCAGTTTGGCTCAGTGGTAGAACACTGGCCTGCAGACCAAAGAATCTAGGGTTCAATTCTGATCAAGGGCACCCACCTCAGTTGCGGTTCGTCCCCGACCCTGGTCAGGGTCGCAAGGGAGGCAGCCAGTCGATGTGTCCCTCTCATGTCGATGTCTCTCTCTCTCTCTCCCTCCCACTCTATCTGAAGATAAATAGAAAAATATCCACAGGTAAGCATTAAAAAAGGAAAGCAAGCAAGGAAGAAATGTTATGCTAGTAGTTACCTATTTTTTTTTTAATAATGTTACTTCCTTACAAAACCATTCTTGACTCTTCGATGCAAAATTAACAAATCACTGCCTCCTTGGCATTCTGTTCAAATTCCTAATAGCACATGTTACATTTTATTGTAATTATCCACTCTACATGCTTTTCTCCACTACCTTACTCAACAAATCTAGTTTATTAATCCTTGATTGAAAGAGTGTATGATCACTAAAGCTTATAGTGGCCTGGTCATCTTGAGAATTTGATATATGGAAATTTGACGGGGAAATCAAAGGAGAATAAGAATGAGAGGTAATTGTGGAATTTTTGATGCCCAAAGGAATTTTGATAGTTATTCTCTGATTTCATGAAGTTTGTTAGAAGATCTTTTCAATTGTTATGCTTTATTGTGCCTGCTTCTTAAAAATGTAATAGTATCAACAGTTGGCATGAAGAAAAATTCACACCTAAAATTTCTATCTATGTTGACAAATGGCAAAAATTAAGCCATACAATAAAAAAATAACATTGTGAAACAATACTTTCACGATTCTAGAAAATTTATATAATACAACCTTCTTTTGCACATAAAAAAGATGGACTAATAATGGTATAAAAGCTTTTTAAAAAGTAGATTGGTTTTGAAAATACATACCATGCCAAATTGTATTCTGTAGACCTTCAATATCAGCTTCCCATTCCATCATATCTTCACTTACAGGAAAGGCAATAATACCCTTTGATTAAAAAAAAAAAATCAAAGCAGTAAAAAAGATAAAATATTTATTGCAGCGTTGAAAATCAGATATCAGGTTACAATGAATTCCCAAAACCTTACATTTTATTTTCCTGATAAATTTATTTATTTGTTGATTTGGGGCAGTACTATATTTTGTGTTATTACACAGCTATTCAGGTAGATTCCACACAATAGTAAATTTAGAGCAGGTCATAAGTGTGGAAATCACAAGTGGGACTAGAAGATCAAGATGGGGATGTGCGGCTTATGTACGTCAATAGACAATTTAAGATTCAAATGAGAAGAAAAGGAAAACATGCACTTCTTTAGAGCTTTTTAAAACTATATGAATGCTATATGGAAAGCGTGAAGTCAGACCATTTTCATTAAGAAAAACACAACTCCAAAATTATGCTTATTTATATATATAAATAAATTTCCCTACAGTTGAGGTATTGTCCCAGTAGAGGGCCAAGAAGGTACTATTTCACAGAAAACCTTATTCGATTATGCTGGGAAATACACCTAAATATACTCAATAAACATTTCTGAGCAACCACATAGTTATTCAGTATGTTTGGTGCTAGTCTGGGTAAACATTATATGATATCTCTATTATCTACATTCTCTATATTTATATATCATTTCTCCTTCATGGAATTGTTCTTCAAAAGAGAACCACAAAGGTCAGGAAGAACAGAAACAATATGAAAATAACTTTATTGGTGGCATTTGGAGCAAAGCCTTCCTCTGTGTTAAAATTATAAGGAAAGGCATTCAATGCATTGTGACAGCAGTTGGCAAAAGGTGCACTAGACAGTAAGTAGTAGAACACAAGACTTTGAGCAAAGGATTTTGGGCCTTGACCAGGTAGCCCAGTTGGTTACATCATGGTCTCCTATACACCATGCTGTTGGTTTGACTGCCCCATCAGGGCACGCACAAAAATCAACTAATGAATGCATCAATAAGTGGAGCAACAAAGTGATATTCTCTCTCTCTCTCTACCCCCTCCTTCCCTCCCTCCCTCCCTCCCTCCATCCCTCCCTCTCTCAAATCAATAAACAAAAAAAGATTAAGGGGTTTGGAGTCAGAACACCCTGTGATAGACTCCTGAGGCCAAATATTTACTGAACCTTTCTGAGACTTAGGTTTCTGGTAGGTAAAACAAAACACTACTTATAGTATTGTAATTAATGAGAGCAACCTTGTGTCTATTAGTTACTTATAACCTGATAAGTACTGATATTCAGGGCTTAAATCTACATACATTACTCCACACAATGTGTTCAATATTGTTAACTATTATTCTTTTTTTTCTTAATTTTTTTTCCTTTATTAATTTTTTAGAGAGAGAGGAAGGAAAGAGAGAGAGTTAGAAACATTGATGAGAGAGAACATCAACTGGCCGCCTCCTGCATGCCCCCTACTGGGGATCAGGCCCACAACCTGGGCATGTGCCCCAACCAGGAATCGAACTGGCAACCCCTTGGTGCATGGGTCCATGCTCAACCACTGAGCCACACTGGCTAGGCTTAACTATTATTCTTACGAAATTATTATTATCATGAAATGGATTGTTATAGTAAAATAGATTTGTTAAACAACAATACTGTCGTTACATTAGGTTGAACTTAATTATGCCTTATTAGAATAAACACAGATTAAACTGCTTTTTAAAAGTTTTGTCCCAATGAAACCCATCATTCCGGGTCCCAATCACTCACCACATAGTTGTTCTCTTTCAACTCTTGGAATTCCCTTCGCAGCAAGAAGCAAGCTCTGCTGCACATGGTAAGGCAGCAAGAGATCTGGCGCTCGCGACACTGCCAGGGATCACTGTGAGGCAGGTGTGTGAGGTCCTGTTAACTGTAAGTTAGTTGCTTTCTAGAGTCGCAGGACGACGTGTACTCCCAAGATAAACGTCCTCTAAGTTGGGCATATGACAGGGACTTTCTTTTCTCCTCTGACTCCTCCAAACTAAGACTTCTAGAGGGGAACTTGGGCACGTTCTCGACGGCGTGCGTCCCTGCAGGGCCAGCCCCAGCCCAGGCTCAAGGCAAACTTGGACAAGCACCAGGGACAACCCCGTGTTGTTGGTGCGTGAAGTGGGAGTAAGAGGCGTAAGCTCCGCGAGGTGCGGGCCAGTTGTTCACTCCTCCTCACAGGTGTAGCTGGGTGTCCGCCTGGCTGGAAGACGCAAATCGGTTGCTAAGCAACAGGTCCCTTAGAAACAGTAACGAGGAGGTGGGAGCTTGACTGCTTCTCATCCAATCAGCGACAGGGGGAAGGCCTCTAGAAACCTCCGCAGCCAATCATCCAATCGTTTCACTTTGAAAGGCCAATGAGGTCCGTTGTCAAGCCCGAGCCTGTCTCAGTCCACAATGTGGATTCGACCTCGCTAGTGTATAGAGTCGGGGTGAATTCCCGGGGTACAGCAAGTAGAAGCCCTCAAGTCTCTCTCTAAAATGATTTTTTTTTCTTTCAAGATCAGAAATTATCAGGTAACAAGTGACCAGTAGGTAAAGGTGTATGCTTATTGATAACAATATCTTAACGTATGGCAAGTTACCATTCAAAAAACGTTCCATATATTATGTCGTCGAATCCTACAGTTACTCTGGAAGAGTGCTGCAGGAACAGAGAACTATTTATAATTTCTCATTCCCATCTCTTGCTGCAGTTTTGGGTTGTATCCCAGCATACCTTTGTTTTTATAGCCTTGAGGAAGTTACTTAGCCTCCCTGTACTTACATTTTTCTCATCGATTAATATGCAACTGATAATACCTACCTCTCAGGATTATTATGAGGGTGTAAAAAATCAATGCCAGCCAAACACTCAGTCATTGCCTAGAGTAAGTGATAGTCAACACCTGCTCTAACCATGTTCTGGGCAAACTGTTCCAAATGTTTTAAATAAATTAATTTTATCCTCAATCCTAATTTTTACAGTAAGGGAAACTGAGGCACAGAGATGCCAGATAATTCACCTGAGGTCACACAGCTGGAATGCAGTAGAGCCAGCATTTTTATTTATTTAGTTTTTTATCCTCACTCGAGGACACTTTTCCATTTTTTTTGTTCAGATAAAGTGGGGGAGAGAGAGAGAGAGAGAGAGAGAGAGAGAGAAACATCAACATGAAAGGGACACATCGAGTGGCTGCCTCCTGCACGACCCAAACAGGGCCAGGGACAAATTGTGACCACGGTACATGCCCTTAGTGGAACCGAACCTGGGTCCCTCTAGACCGCAGGCCAATGCTCTAACCGCTGAGCCAAACTGGCCAGGGCCAGAGTCCATGCTTTTAACCAGTAGGCAACCCTGCCTCACAAAGGTCTCATGTCCCAAGTGAGCTATCTAGCCTTCTTTAATAAAGTATGGCTACTCTCAGTAGTTATCTTTGTGCATCTGTTGCTCTTGTTTTTATTAGTTTTGATGTATTGATTTTTGGCTGCATTTCTACCTGTTAATTTTCTGAGTCCCCTGTCAATAAAATACAAACCCAAAATAGTTGGACCACTGCTGTATAAAATAGTGCCTGGCACATAATAAAAGCCTAATACATATCTGTTAACTAAATGTGTATATATTTTTTGTCTTTTAGATTATAAATTATTAAGAAATCTGTCTAACTTCTGTAACTTATTTATATACTTATAGTTCTTTATATAGCTCAAAAATACCAACTACTATATATTTTGATATTAACTTTTATTACTTTTATAACTTCAACTGGAGAGTAGATTTAATTAAATCCTATTATATGCCTTTTGGGGCTTTTCCTGTCTTTCCCCTAAAAATAGTCATAGAGGACTCAAAAGAGAAATGTTGCATTGTATTTTTTATGGTAGGCAGAATTCTAAGATGATCTTCAACATTTCTTGCCCCCACATAATTTTCAGGACTGTGAATAGGATGTATTTCACTCTAAGTTCAGTTTTCTGTCACAATTCACTTTAGGAAAGGAAGATAATTTTGGGTGTGCCTGATCTAATCAGGTAAGCCTTAAGTGAGCCTGGACTCTTCCTGAAGTCAGTAATTCAAGGTGTGAAAAGGATTCCATGTGAGGGAGATTCTCTGTTACTACCTGTGGAAATGAAAGGGACCGTGTGGCAAGGAATGTGGGCAGTCTCTTGGAGGTGAGAGTGGCCGCTGGCTGACAGGCAGCCAGAGAAGCAGGGCCTCCGACTTCCAACAGCAAGTTACTGAATTCTGCCACAACCACAAGAGCTTGAAAGAGGAACTGAACTCCAGATCAGAACACAACCTAGCCAACACCTGCTGAGGCCTTGAGCAGAAAATTCAGTCATGCTGTACCCACGTTGTTTTGAAACAGTAAGTTTGTGGTATTCTGTTACACAGCAATAGCTGACTAATACAGCTTCTTGCCTAGAGTGCACAGCTACTGACCAAGATAAAGTATGTGGCAAAAGGTCAAGCACTCACTGATTTAGTGTGAAAAACACTTGAAACCAGTCAGTGGCTTTAGACAGGGTTAGGGGATAAGACAGGTATGGCATCCTGAAAAAATGAAGGCTTAACTGAGGCTCACGTCCACATTTTCGTCATCCTGGGATGAGCAAGGCAACTGCAACTGTAACTGTTTAACACTGGTCAAGTTACTGAGGCCATCTCCAGCTTGAACATCCCCCTCTCCCTCTTTGTTTTTAAAAACAGGTCTTTCCCTCAGGACGCGAACAGATGTTTTCATTTTACTTAAGCTATAAGACTGTTTTCCTCATCCACCAGGAATATGTACCAGTACAACGTGTTAACCTCGTTTGGATTTGAACCCCCATCCTCAAGAGCAAAAGAAGGCTGAGGATCGCCAAATGTCAGCTAGGCTGTGAGACGTGTTTCAAATCAGATTTTGACGTATGTTACGCTGTTAACTAGAAAATGAAGAGCAGCACACATGCTTCTAGTAACTCTGGTTTCAAATCATATGATCCCTCCTTTGTCTTGAAGACCTTTTGATGTGCGTTCCCATATTGAGTTTCTCTGCTTTTAATAATCTTATATTCCTTCCTCAATATAAATGTCATGAAAAATACTGAATGTTAATCTTCAAAGATCAAACAGGAAGAAAGAGGTGGGTAGCCTAGTTCAGTGACTTGAATTCCTGAAATTTCTCATTTAAAAATTTTATTTTCTCTTATAAAAGGCTAGGCTCCGAGAAATGCTTGGTTCCCCTTTCTAAGTCCAAGTGTGCCCCCCCCTTTCAAAACTGTGTTAATTATAAAATAATTCGGTCTCTCCCCCTAAGGCACCTGAGATGCAGGGGCCAGTGATCAGTATTTATATCTATATTTGTGTCCCAACAGAGAGGAACTCAGAATCAATACACGCTGGCTTTTATTTCACCTCCTTGGCTTTCACTTTCGGGGGCCAAGAGTCCGAGGTTGCCTGGGACTGGGACTTTCCTGGGACAACGGACTTTCAGTGCAAAATTGGGATTGTCCTTGGCCAACTGGCGTAGTCAGTCACTCTAGCTTGGGCATCAAGGACCTTTTCAGGGTGGGAATTGTGTAGACAACTTGGTAGAAGCTGTTTGTTTTTGGATCTTGATGCTTAAAGGAAGCTAATTTGTTTTCTATTGCAGGCTGGTGCCCAAACCCCACAATCAAAGTTCTAAAGAGTAATGCTCAGAATTCCTGCAGGAGAGGATCTTAGGGAGGTTTGTAATGAAGGAATGCAGTGTCTGCCTGGGCACTTTCCATGTTTTAGGAGGATCAGGTCTCCTTTCATCTCGGTCCTCCCATGGGAACACCGATCACTGAGAGAGACTGCATTTAATAATATCTAAGTACAACTGTGACGGTTCAGAGTGTGAGGGGTGTGGGAGGGGGAACTGCTTAAAAGGTGTCATTATTCCAGGTTTCCTTCACATATATGGGTTTAACTAACCTTTTCATACTCAGTTGCCCTAAGGATAATTCCAGAGTTCAACACGGGAGAAGCTTTGAGGTGGCGGTTGGTTTGGAGCGGGTATAAGGGACGACACATGGTTTAGGGATGACGGAGGGCAGCAATTTTCAGCTGGTGTGCGCCCGAATTTTAAAACCTCAATTCCTGAATATTGAGTCGGGGGCACTGACCTCTTCTCCCTTAGATGATCAAATTAAAAAAATGACAACAGGCAACACAGCAATAGCTGTCCGGTGTGAATGAATCAAAATTATACCTTTTTCTTCTTTTTTTTTTTTCAGAGTGGCAAATAATTTAATATATTTTTTGGTGTGCCGCACACCTTTAGTAATGAGTTTATGTGTGCCATGCGATGAAAAAGGTTGAAAATCGCTGGCTTAGGGATGGGTCTTGAAGCTGTTTTCACTCAGTGTATGTTTGTTTTTCAGGGGTGGTTTGAAGGGAGGTGATGGGAATTATTAAGGGGCTAGGCTGGCCCCCACCTCATTGGCATCAGCAATAGGTGTTCTGCTGTATGGTATGAATTTTTTTTTACCACAATAGAAAATAATGTGTCTCTTTATAAAAATTGTTTAAAACACATTGAATAATAGCACTGTGACCAGTTTCTGAGCACTTGCTATGTGCCAGACACTTCTCACATACTTATATTCTCTTAAACTCTGAAAGGCAGGTATTACAGAAACAGTGTACAAATGTAGAACATTTTTTGAGAACTGTCGTCAGGCGCTTTTCTGTGCAGCTTACATGAATTAGCGCATGTGTGTTAATTAGCTTCAATTCTTCTTTTTTTTCTTCAATTGTTTAGTGGCTTTATTCATAATCTCCAATAATTGTAGACAACCCAGTGTCTTTCAGTGGG